CCATAAAGTGGCCAGAGTGAATTGTTTCCCTGGAATCTCTCGATACATTCTTTCCCCTGTGATATCCCTGATGCTCTGACATATTTCTCCCTGTCATCACTGCTGGTTTTCGACACATTAGCTCCGCCTGCATGTCAATTTCTGTCAATGCGAGAATAACAACGGCACTGTTATCAATTATTTATTGATTTATCAATAAACATAAACAATTCTGTAGATTTTTCCTCAATTAAAGAAATTAAAAAAATAATTTTACAGAATTTTTGAGGGACGGGGAGGGGGGGGGAGGGTGCAATGATACATTTTATAGATGGAAAAATTATCATTAATTATCAAGTAATGAATTCATGAGAATTGAAAATTTTATTGATTTTTCTTGAATCTAAATTTTTGAATTTATTGAATTCGAAAATGTCTTGAAATTAAATTGGAAAAATCGATTTTTTCAAGTTTTTCAAGAACAGGGAAGATGGCGTCAATTATGCCCCCATTGATGAGCCAATACAAAACTAACATCAACTAGCAGACGATTAATTTACGGAATTCAACGGTTTCTTCGATTTTTTTTTATGAAAAAAAAATTTCAACAACTTTTTTGCTACGTTTTGGCAGGAGGTAGTGAGAATGGGGGGATAATCATGATCTTATTCGATAGATGAGGAGATTTATCATAGAATTAAAAAAAAATAGTTTTCATTTTTTTTAATTTCAAAAATAAAATTTTTTTTTTTTGATAATTTTGAGGGGAAAGGAAGGGGGTCAATTATGCCCCCATTGGGTGGATCATCAATTGTCAGACGATTGATTAACGAAAATCAAAAATTTTTTTTTTCATTTTTCTTGAATAAAAATGAATAAAAAAATTGTTTCTTTTTTTTTAATGAAAAAAAATGAAAACTTGTTTTCTTAATGTCTCGGCAGGAAGGGATGAGGGGTTGTTGATGGCTCCATTCAATATATCGGGAAATTTATCATGGAATGAACCAAAAAAATAGTCTCTGTCGCTCCTCAGTAAAAAGGATTCAAATATCGTTTTTTCCTTAGTTTCTCGGATATTTGAGTTCAAGGCCAGTGTTTAGAATCCAGAATTTTCCTGATTATCGAACAAGATGACTGTCAACCCCCTCCCCCGCCCCCTTCCCAGAAAACCTCCGGAAAAAATAAAATCCAAAATGAAAATGATGCCAGAACCGCCGACTTGATTTCCAAACCCCCCTCTGCATTCATTAATTGACAAAAAGAATAAATTCCCGCCGTTCAAAGTCAATTTTTCCCACACGTTTTAATCACCAGATAAACACATCGTGAACTTTGTACCCGAGAATCACGACACTAAATAAAACCCCTCAATTTTCCTTAAAAAAATAACCGAAAATCCTCACAATTTCATGAACAATCTTGCTCCCTTCATTCTCAACAATAAGTTGACGACCTCCAACGGAAAATTTTCCAAAACTAACTCGATAAAACGTTATCAATACCTCTCCATCCACTGAATAAACAAGAAACAAAAATTTAAAAAAAACTGAAATTCCGCGAGAAAATTCATTTTCCCTTAAAGTATTCTCAAAAAAAAAAAAAGTTTTAAATGTCTACATCATGATCTCCACTACCTCCACTCAACAATAACTGAACACATGTATAAACAAATCAACAAGCCCAACAAAAATAAACAACGAAAAAAAAAACATGTAAAAAAATTAAAAATTCCAAAAATTCTTTCTCCAAAAAAATGGAAAATCAACAAAATTATTTTCTCTCCAGGAAAAAATACCCCCCTCCCCCTTCAATAAGAGAAACTGTCGATTAATATTTCGCATTCCGCAATTTAAGACGATCGTAACCCAGAAAGAAGAAAAAGTCTATTAATTTGCACTCGAAGACGACAAAAACAAATTAATTAACCTCTCGCTCCCCTCGTTCTTCCCCTCCCAGCCGCAGAGCGCCAAATCCACCCCCGGACTTTATCGAATTCATGAAAGTCGATTGAGTAAATGAATGAAAAATTTACCTTTCACTTTATCGATAGGAGAGCCGATCAGAGTCGATAGTAAAAAAAACTAGAAATAAAATGTTGAGGTCTCGTAGTTGAATGAAAAATGTTGCAACAAATCACGACGATTTGAGCACTGATAACTGGCACAACAAAACACATACGATCACGCACTAGGAAATCACAGAACAGGCACTGATTGTTACCCCAAAATCACCGGAAACCCTTGAAATTGAGGAACTGATGGCTAATCGGGCAATAAAAAATTTATAAAACCTTAAATTCCGGATATTTCGAGTGGCCTGGACACCAGTGGCGTCAGTCTGGCCGTTCTGAGCCCCTTTTTTCCACTGCGCGACGGATAATGTCTCATGGCTGCTCCAAAAATCACATTATTATGAATTTTCCAACAACTGGAAGGTCGAGGAAATTGAAATAATCAATTGATTTTGGTGGTAACACGCGTACAGTTGGAGTTTATTGTGATGATAACACGACTAACTGGGGGAGCCCGAGGGACACCAGCTGATGGACTACGGGCACGAGAGGAGGACAGAGCGCATGCGTCGACGACCACGTGGTTGGAGGAACGGTGCGGGGTTTTGACGCAAGAGGGCGACAGGTGCGTGGAAATATTTTTGCGCGGGGTTTTTAAATATGGTTGTCGACAGGGGGCGGGGGGTTGATGGGACTGTTTTCGACCAGATCCGATCAATTAGCCCCTCATGTATAGATATTCCAAATTTTTATTTTTTTCCTCATTGAAGTAGTTTTGAAGAAAATTGCGAGCTAATAAAAAACATTTGCTAGTTAGTACTTTTTTTTAAATAAATTTTTGAAAAATCACCTCTGGAAAAAAAGGCGTTATCCCCTCTATTTCATTATTTCCAAAAAATTTTATCACCAATCGATAGCAAATTGTTTGAAGATTTTTGCGAGTTAAAAAAAAATCGTCAATGCAATCCTATTATTGTGTAAATTAACAATTCCAATTTCAACTGAAAGCCCGAGTTGTAGACCCGAGTTTGTAGCAGCGATATCAGACAAGATATGAATGTTTTTTTGGGCTCAAATGAAAGAGCGGGTTGAGAAATGGCGTGCTAGGACCTCTAAACATGACAAATGTCTCTAAAGATGATATCTGTTTTCAATTGAAAAGCAGATCACTCCTAGAGATGTCCGATGTTTTTAGAAACATGGATTATAGAAAAATCTGTATTTTTTTAATATGGATGTTGTGAATCGATTTTTCTGGAAGAAACATCGGTTATTAAAAAATCTATGTTTTTGCTCATTAAACAGAAAAAAAATGAATTCTTAAAAATAATTTTTTTTAATGTCGTGTTTATTGAAATAGTAATATTGTGTTAGTGCGTAAAATTCCAATTTTTCACGCGCACGTGTTATTCATCGTATTTTTTGTGGTGCCTGCCGAGGTCAGGGTTCGGATCGGTAGTGGGGAGTGAAGTAACTGTTTTTGGGCATGAGTGCATAAAAACACTCAAGAGGGTGCGTAAAGCGAAGTTTACTCATGCCGTGCGGAAAAGAAACACTTTACACAGACTAAACCGTTGCGAAAAGTGCACTTTTGAGGCAGGTATCGGACAATAGTATATTTCGATACGAGTGAGACGGAATTTTTACGAACATGAAGTTGGTCCGAGGCGAAGCCCAGGGCTGTCAATCACACGCGCTGAAAATTCTCGTCCCACATGTGTCGAACAATATTTTTTGACACTGCTGCTACGTTCACCTCGTTCACAGCGATGTAACGTTTAGCTAGTGGCCGAACTGTGCCTCTTTCGTTTACAACCAAACGAAAAGGCACTTTTCTGCACGAGGTGAACGTAGCAGCAGTGTCAAAATAGTATATTTCGTAACGAGTGCAAAAAAGTGTTTTTTTCGCGAGTGGGAGGTTTATATCACGAGCCGAAGGCGAGTGATATAATCCCACGAGCTAAAAAACATTTTTTTGCACTTGTTACGAACAATATTTTTCATCACAATGTGGCGGAAAATGTGGCTAAAAGTCCACTTTTCGTCACAGCGTGATGAAAAATATTATTCGACGTATGTGAGACGAAAATTTTCAGTTCGTGTGATTGGCAATCCTCGGCTTCGTCTCGGGTCGCCAATTTCACACTCGTGAAAAGGTGATCACTTTAGGAATGGGCGGTGTTTTTAAAATCATTGATATTTAAAATTAATTTTGATTATTAACGAATACCATGTTTTCGCTCATTACACAGAAAAAAAAACAAATTGACAAAGACAATTGTGATTATAGGCCTCGCCTTCGGCTCGGCCTACAAAGCCACATTCGTCAGAAAATACTTTGTGGACCTTGTGATGAAAATAACTATTTCATTTATTCGTAAACAAAAAAGGTCCAGTTTGGCCATTCGCTGAACGTAACATCGCTGTCAAATAGTATTTTTCCGGCCTGTTGCGATGGCTTTTTTACTCGTGTGGCGTTGGCCTCCGAGCCGTAGGCGAGGACTAGCCAACCACACGAGTAAAAAAACCCCATCGCAACAGCCCAGGAACAATATTTTTCTGTAGTGATTTTCAAGTTTTCGAGTTTGGAAAGTAGGTAATACCAATTCCCAGACGAGGAATCGTGAGAAGCAGTACAGAAAAAATATTGTTCGACACATGTGAGACGGGAATTTTCAGCTCGTGTGATTGGCAGTCCTCCGCCTCGCCTCAAGCCGCCAACTTCACACTCGTGAAAATTTCGCCTTCACTCGTATCGAAATAGTTATTTTCATCACAAGGTCCAAAAGCATTTTCTGACGAATGTGGCTTTGTAGGCCGAGCCGAAGGCGAGGCCTATAATCACATTCGTCAGAAAATACTTTTGGACCGTGTGATGAATGCAATTTTTCGTCAGAAGGCCCGTAAACCGCGATCAACCCGAGCGAAGCGAGGATTCTAACCTCGCTTCGCTCGGTTTGATCGCGGTTTACCGGGTCTTCTCACGAAATATACTATTTCACAGTGATGTTACGTTCAGTGAGTGGCCAAACGGTGCTTTTTTCATTTACAAGTAATTTTCGATTATTAAGTGAACTATTTAAAGACAAAAATACTTGTATTCAGTGAATGTGATGTTGAAACCATGAAATTCGGAGTCAAGTGGGCATGAGAATGGAAAAATACGAGGTATGAAACACCTTTCCTGATATTTTTGGAATACAATTTTTCTAGGGGGGCTTCAATTTGATAAAACATTAAATGAATAGTTTTTTTACTCTTTATGTGAATGTTTTCTCAACGGTGGAGCGTGTGAATAAACACTGCCAAACGTATTTTCAGACTTATGTGATTACGAAAGCCGTCGGCTTATGACGTTATGTGATTACTATTTCGTAACGAGTGCAAAAAACATCTTTTCACGAGTTACGAACAATATTTTTCATCACAATGTGCCGGAAAATGGACTTTTAGGCACGCGGAGCGTGCCGAAAAATTCACTTTTCGTCACAGCATAATAAAAATTCTATATTCCTCCGGAGCGTCCATGTATTGGCCATCCACCGTCCATCTACTGGCCCTAGCGTCCAGTTATTGGGGATTTGGACGATACTTCACTTTTTCCTCATTTAATTATTCTTCTCATCATTTTTTTCCACTTCAAATTATTGGTTTTTCCTAACTCATATATTCTTTCAGGTCTAGAACTCATTTTTTATTCATTCAGCTACTTCGTCGATTTTAAATCTCTTAATGAAGTTCAACGTTTCCTTAACCGTTCAGCTATTGGCCTGTTTACCCTGTCAATGAAAATTGAAGAGATTTCATAATGAATAATTTTTTTTTTCAATTTATTGAGATCATTCAATTAACAATTGAGGAGTCGTAAAAAACACTCGATCTGCTTCGCCCAGTTTTTTCAATTGGCTGTGTTTTTTCAGAGCTTAGAAGTCTGCGTCCCATCCGGAGAAGTCGTTGGTCGCCACCTCGCGCTCCAGGGGGTATTTGTCGAAGTGTCTGCTATCCAGAGGACCGTTCACCTGGAATTTCGACGCCGGTGAGTGCTGAATATTTTTATTTCTCGTGAAAATCAAACATTTTTTCGGTTACCTTGAGAATTATTGGAGAGCGCAGGGTCTGGTTGCGGAGGGCTTTCCAGTCGAAGTGGGAGAACCAGCTGAAATTTTTTTTAGGTCATTATGAGGCCCATTAACGGCCCCAATATATCATGAACTGTATTTATTGCGTTCACTAGCTCTCGGAGACTTTTTAAGACCCGAAAAGTCGTAAAAGTTTTTAATGAATTTTCCCTCTTCATTTTGGCCCTTTTAACTTTTAAATGATTAACAATTTTTTTTTTTCAATATATTTTTCAAGACTTAAAGAAAAATCTCGATAAAATCGTTGAGAACCTTCAGAAAATGTCTTCAATATTTTTTTTTAAATTTCCAGAAAGTGAAGAGAATTTTAAAAAAATGAAACTTCATTCAAATTTTTTTAAAGTTATTTTTGAGAAATAAGAATAATAATTGAAAAAAAAATTTCGAGACTTTCAACTCGAATAAAAATGTTAAGAGCCCTAAGAGAATGTTTCCAACATTTTCGAAAATTTTTTCGAGAAGGAATGACTTAAAAAAAACAAAATATGAAAAAAAAATATTTTTACGGAATCAGAATAATATTATATTTCTTAATTAGAAAAAAAATATTTTTCGAGACTTTAAACCCGAATAAAAATTTTAAGAGCCCCAAAAGAATGTCTTCAACATTTTCTTAAAATTTTCAGAAATGAGGGCAATAGAATAAAAAAAACAACAGTCAAATTTTAAAAAAAATTGAAGGAATCAGAAAAAAATTGATGTTTTCCTTGATTTTTTCTTAAAAAATTGGCAATGGTCGCTGAATTTTTCGAAAGATTGGCGAACGGTAGAAAAAAAAATTTTATGTGCCAAAAAAAAATCTAAATTATTGGCATTATACCTTTCCTGGATTTCTGAAGTTGCGGGGATTTAATGACCCGAGGATGTTTTTTTCTACTCACTGGTGGTTTCGGATGTCACTAATGCCCGCCCTGAGGTAACCCAGCCGTTCCACCGGTTTAGGACGCAATAATTTCTTTATAATGCTCTGAGCACTGGTTTTTAGTCCTGGCATTTGTATAGACTCTATTCCGTCCACTATTTTATGGTAGAGTGTCACTTTGTCCTCGTCATCGAATGGCGGATGACCTGTTAGTAGCTCGAACATGGTGATACCCAGGGACCAATAATCAGCGGCCCTATTTATGCAAAAAAAAAATGATGAATCCAATATTCTAATTTAAAGGAGGTCATTAGATACATTTATAAAGATTCAAAAATATCACGGACATTGTATTTCATTTAGATAACAGGAGGTTGATTTACAAAATAGAATGCATGCTCATTGTAGGAAAAAGCGAGCAGTGAACAATCCTATGTTGAGTATTGCGGTGACATATTAACTACGTCCAGTTGACCATCTTGAAATTTCGCGAGGGTTGATGTTATTTATCAATGAATTTGAATGACTTTTAAGATTCACTTCTAAATTGTCTGCAATGCGATTCATGAAGTCATGGATCATTTCTGTGTTGGATCTAATGTGGAGGGAGGAGATAGGGGTGCCATAGTAGGCATTATCAATCACACAGAGAAATTTGTTTTGAGTAACTTGGAATTTGGCGATGTGGGTGGGGGCTGCATTGTGCCGGACGGAGCACCCATAGGTTAGTACCGGCCTGACTAATGCCTTGTACAATTTGAGTTTAGCTTGAGTCGACAGGAATTTGTTTTTAAATAGGTAGTAGAGCCTACCCACGATGGCTTTTGCTTTTTTATTCGCGATGTTAATGTGTGTGCACCATCAGAGCTTTTTGTCAAGGGTAAATTCGAGGTGTTGTGATTCCTAGAATCAATGATTTCCTGTGATTTCTTGCATGATTTCTCAATCAGAATTGAACATCACGATTTCTCTTGATTTCTCATGTCTTCCATGATTTCTAGTAGATTCCAATGACTTCTTGATGTCAAGAAATCTCTCGAGAAATCATGATTTCTATCCATAAAATGAATTAAGAGCTAATGTGTGCGCACCATCAGAGTTTTGTATCAAGAGTAAATTCGAGGTGTTGTGATTCCTCGAATCAATGATTTCCTGTGATTTCTTGCATGATTTCTCAATCAGAATTGAACATCACGATTTCTCTTGATTTCTCATGTCTTCCATGATTTCTAGTAGATTCCAATGACTTCTTGATGTCAAGAAATCTCTCGAGAAATCATGATTTCTATCCATAAAATGAATTGAGAGCTAATGTGTGCGCGCCATCAGAGCTTTTTGTCAAGGGTAAATTCGAGGTGTTGTGATTCCTAGAATCAATGATTTCCTGTGATTTCTTGCATGATTTCTCAATCAGAATTGAACCTCACGATTTCTCAATTTTACGGATTTTTAAATTCTTCTATATTATTCACCTGTCATGTCCCTCTTCTAGTATAATCTCGGGCGCCATATATTCAGGAGTTCCAACGAATGACCAGGTTTTGTACGGACCTATTCGCTTACTCGTTCCAAAATCAGTCTGAAAAAATTATCATCTGGACTCATTAGTGATTATTAACTAGATTTTGGACACAATTAAAAGCAATGCTATAGTGAATATGTCGTGAAACCAGGGCGATCAATTACCAGTTTAGCGTAGCCCCGCGCGTCCAGCAGAATATTATCCGGTTTCAAATCTCTGTAAACAATATCATGGGAGTGCAGATGATCGAGAGCCTCGACCATGCAGGCAGCGACGAATTTCGCTGCTGAGTTGTCGAACCTGAAGTTTCTGTACAATAGTGTCCTCAAGTCGCCACCCAGGTAAGCCTCCATGAGGAAGTAGACGTACTTCGGGTCTTTGTACGTCTGGTGAAGTCTGGGAATCCCGGAAACAATGACTTGATTTTATCATGATCTTTTTTCCCAACACTAGCGCCACTTTGTGGCGCGCGTGTTGATGGCCTTTTTCCTGTCAGATTCGATATTCCTTTTTTCAATTAATTGTATATGATCATTCTCATTGCAAAAAGCAATACGACCGATGAGAATCATATGCCCCAATTTATCAGTTCTTAAATTTTCATATTACAATAAATGATTTGTTGAAATCTTATTCAGTGAGCATTGACAATCTTATTATATGATTCGTTTATTCATGTTTCATAGAATGACATTAAATTCTCTTTTGTTTGTTGGGCGGGCTTCATGAAAATTCGACGCAAGACGATTGTGCTCATGAAAACCGCCTTACTTTCTCCATTCGTTCGAGATAGCCGCCATTTTCGAGTTCTCATTTTCGATTCGAGATATCGCCCTCGTTTTATTTAGAAAGGATTTGGAAGTATAGAAGTAGATACGAATGATCGTCTCTGTTTATTGTTAAGACTTCCGGGGAAAAATGGACTGAAGAGATAAAAATTCACAAAAAAATGAAAATGATGAAACGGAAAATTATCTAGTCGAGAATTCTATTTAATTTATTAATATCCTTAACGAAAAATTAGTGAATGAGGAACAATTGTTGACTTACCGACATATAAAAGGAGATTTGCACGCCTTCATGATGTACTTCTCATCCAGAATGTACTTCTGATGATCCAGACTCTTGACAAGACTTTTCTTAATTTTTTTCAGTGCAAAGCTAACATTTGGAATTGATCTAGTCGTGACTAATTGAACTCTACCGAAACTTCCCTCACCGATGACAGCCTTTACCTCGAGGTCGGATAATTTGACATCCGGGTAGTCGCTTATCCACTGAACCTTCAGGGATCGTTTCCTCATCTCGTAGTCTGATTTCCAGTCTCGCTTTTTTATCGACTCCAGGTCACCCAAATAATTCAGGAATGTTCTGAAAATTTGGTTGGAGAGAATACGATGCGCCATTAATTATTGATTTAATCAAATCATCAGTAGAATAGAATGTACGATGTAATCATTTTTATAATATAATATTTTTCCTATATTTTGATGAGGAAAAACGTATTAGTAATGATTGGAAAAAGAGGAATTAATTTTAAGATTTGATTTTGCTCTTTCTTAATTATTCAAGAACAATTTTTCATCGAGGATTTGTAATTTTTATTTTTTCATTTTTTCAAAAAATAAATTTATAGTCGTCTATGGTCTCATGATGGAAAGTTAGTTTAGGAAAAAATCGTTATGCCGCAGCGCCATCTATTGGAATTTTTTAAAAATTTAGAAATGCCAAGAAAATTCCTAGGTGTGTCAAGAAAAATCTAGGACTTCTCAAAAGGAAATCTAGAAAATTCTGGGATTTTCAATAACATTCGGAATTTTCAAAAAAAAAATTGAAATCTGAAGAATTAAATCCGTGACAATCCGTTCAATTAAAAGAATCCTAAGCGACTCATTTTTTTTATATTTCAACTACTTACCTTCGATCAATCGCTAAACATTCGGCCCCCCGATCATCCGCGATGGCGTTCGCCTGTCTCTTGTTACCACCAGACTCATAGAGCGCCTTTTCCCCGAAGTAATCGCCTTCCTCGAGCACCGCGAGCGTCACTTCCTCCCCGCTATCCTGAGTTTTCGTGATTTTCACGCTTCCACAGTTGATTATATAGAACTTATCCCCCACATGACCTTGTCTGAGGATGTAGGACCCCGCGGTGAAGAACTCCACGTGCATCAGATCCGATATTTTCGATAGAACGTGTCGCGGGAGGTCTTTGAGCAGCGAAATTTTTCTGAGCGCCTCAACATTGCTCTCAACCGTTTCCTGAGCGTTCTTTATCCTCGCGGCGACAAACGCCGCGCGTTCCAGCACCCAGACCTTACCCCCGGGCTTCACTGAGGGTCAAAGTCGAGATCAAACGGATTAAGAACGATTTTTTGGTCTTCGAGCATTTGGAGCTGGTGTTATGGGTCCTCCCGAACTCGATTTTTCCACTTCAGGGAAAAATAATTCCGGGGGAATATTAAGACGAGGGATTTTTTTCCACGGGGAAAATTTTCCAGGGGAATTTTGACGAGGGAATTTTTTCCGGAAATCCATAGGGACCAACTTTTGAGTGCTATTGTTTCGGGATATACCTTAAGCGAAACTTTGCTCATTGACTATGCATTAGAATGGTGTATTGATTTTTTCAATTTCCCACGATCTAATATAGTTGAAATAAACATGGAAGTGAAGAACAACATCGAAAAACAAATAAATTCGATCACTCAAGAACTAAAGAAATTAACAGGAGGCGCCAGCTTTACCCAATTGAAATTGAATTCAGTAGCCAAGTGGTAGAACGGTTCAAGTCAATTTTGACTATTGACCAGTTTTCAATAAATATCTCGGAATCANAAGCGACTCATTTTTTTTATATTTCAACTACTTACCTTCGATCAATCGCTAAACATTCGGCCCCCCGATCATCCGCGATGGCGTTCGCCTGTCTCTTGTTACCACCAGACTCATAGAGCGCCTTTTCCCCGAAGTAATCGCCTTCCTCGAGCACCGCGAGCGTCACTTCCTCCCCGCTATCCTGAGTTTTCGTGATTTTCACGCTTCCACAGTTGATTATATAGAACTTATCCCCCACATGACCTTGTCTGAGGATGTAGGACCCCGCGGTGAAGAACTCCACGTGCATCAGATCCGATATTTTCGATAGAACGTGTCGCGGGAGGTCTTTGAGCAGCGAAATTTTTCTGAGCGCCTCAACATTGCTCTCAACCGTTTCCTGAGCGTTCTTTATCCTCGCGGCGACAAACGCCGCGCGTTCCAGCACCCAGACCTTACCCCCGGGCTTCACTGAGGGTCAAAGTCGAGATCAAACGGATTAAGAACGATTTTTTGGTCTTCGAGCATTTGGAGCTGGTGTTATGGGTCCTCCCGAACTCGATTTTTCCACTTCAGGGAAAAATAATTCCGGGGGAATATTAAGACGAGGGATTTTTTTCCACGGGGAAAATTTTCCAGGGGAATTTTGACGAGGGAATTTTTTCCGGAAATCCATAGGGACCAACTTTTGAGTGCTATTGTTTCGGGATATACCTTAAGCGAAACTTTGCTCATTGACTATGCATTAGAATGGTGTATTGATTTTTTCAATTTCCCACGATCTAATATAGTTGAAATAAACATGGAAGTGAAGAACAACATCGAAAAACAAATAAATTCGATCACTCAAGAACTAAAGAAATTAACAGGAGGCGCCAGCTTTACCCAATTGAAATTGAATTCAGTAGCCAAGTGGTAGAACGGTTCAAGTCAATTTTGACTATTGACCAGTTTTCAATAAATATCTCGGAATCAAAGGGAGATAGCAAAATTTTTGTTACAACCTTTTTTGTAGAGCCGATTGAGAGCTACAACAAATGTAATTACGAAAATTCCGCTATTTCCGTTAGATTCGGAAATATTCCTCGAAAACTCAATTGGGAGATAAGTCGACTTAAACTGGTTTACCACTTCGCTACTGAATTGATCCATTAATTCGGAGTTTGTTAATTAGTTATTGCAATAACCGTCATGTAATTACCGTCGACTGAAACTGCTCGCTTGACATTGTACAACAAGGCTAGCTCCCCGAAGGCAACTCCAGGCCCGAAACTACCCTGGAACTCGCCCCCCTTAAAGATCTCGAAGTCCCCGGTCTCGGACACGTACAGGTGATGTCCAATATCTCCCTCTTTAATTACTCTAGTTTTTTTCGGGAAGAGCCTTGGGTACATCGTGGACACTATCATGTCCACCTGGTGGTCCTCCATCTTGTAGAGGAAATTATTGCGTTTTATTGCGTCAGTTATTCTCTTCTGCTCCCTTCAAACGAGAAATATAATCTAATTTTTTTAAGAAATTTTGTTTTTCGAAAATCATGTAGTTGTCTTGAATTTTAGAAAGTAATAAAATCATTGCAATCGGTTAATACTTTTAATTGTTAATTTTTTTGAAGAGTTATTAGGTTGAAAGAAAGCTAATCAAGAGCTAGAAAAATCGAAAAATTATTGGAGACAATTTTTTTTTCATTTTTTGATGGAAAAAATCTGAGGGATTTCACTTACTCATGACTCTTTCTGAAAATAGGAAACTCCTCATTCTTCGTCACTTGTGCAGCCCCAAAAATCGCGTCCTTCCTCACTTGGCTCAATCTCCTGTAAATCTGCTGTTCAACCCCACTCTTCTGCCCCTTATTATTCTTCTTATTTTTGTTATTCAAATTGGTCACCACTAAATTCTGCCCGCAATGCCACATCCAGGGGCAGCACCTCCACGTCTTCAGGTCCTCCATCATCCCCTCACCTCCGAACGCACTTCATTCCAACTAAAATTTTTCGGAAACTAATTCTCCGCTGGAAAAAAAATCCCGAAAAGAATCATCTCCGCGCACTCTTTACATTTCCTTCCCAGACCTTCGTTTTTTAACGATTCAATTTTTTTAAATAAAAAAAATATTGAAAACTGTTGGAAGTCCAAGACATTTGTTGAAAGGTTTCTGGGAATTCTTTAAAGTTTTACGTAGAAAAAAGTGATCGGATTGAAAACTCACACTGTACTGACCAGTAGACCCAGATAGATCGATCTTATCTCGTTGATACCGCGAGATTAAATGTCTCGCCCATTTTTTTCAGTCAAGAATTTTCATGACAATTATCTTTAGTGGATTAGTGCGGTCATGCGTCGATGTTGAACACCGGCAATTATAGAAAAACAGTCGTATAAAATCTTTCATTGGATAAGTGACTTCGTAAATCTCGTCATTCAAGAACTAATTGATCAGTTGTTCATGTTTTTCTTTTTTTTTTTTGAGGTCTCATTATCGATTACCGATTTTTTCCTGCCAATGTTACTCACGCTTATCACTCCATGATGACTTCACGCCCTTAGGGGTTTTCAGAGAGAAATAATTGATAAGAACACTGGATTTATTTACAAAATAATTTATTCAACGATTTATGAGAATTTAACAAACTAGAAATTGCATTTTTTATACCGATTTTTTTTTTCATTTCCTCGAGAACCTGCAGAGTTACAATAAATTTCCCATTAATTAAAAAAAATGACACTCGTCTCTCTTCAAGTTGTCGAGAGATCGGCAAAATAAATGATTCAACTTTAAAACCATTTTTTCTCATGTTCTCTAAAATAAGGGGGTAGAATGGGCTCAATAGCAGGGTTAGGACCCGCAAATTTTCGTGGGGTTCTAATAAGCCTTTGTTTTATGTTGCAACTCTTCAGGTTCTCGAGATATTAGCGGAAAATTGTAGGTAATCGGTTAATATCGGTCTAGGTGTGATCGGTAATTAGTAGAAAAAAAAAATTGATTGAGACTCAGAAGTTCATGTCCCAACCGGAAAATTCATCCGGAGGGATTTCCCTGTCCGGGGGGTATCTCTCGAAGTTCCTGACGTCCGTTGTACTTCGAATCTGAAAAGAAAAGACAGAAATGGAGATATTTTACGGATGATCGTTGGGCCTTAAACTCATTTTTTACAGACGAGGCTGCAAAACTTATTTTATGGATGTGGAATTCACTAGAGTCGAAGTGTTGCGTACGTTCTAGTAAAAAATATCATATATCAATTTTTTCCGAGGACAGGAAACATGTCATTCCCAATTTTTGGGTCCTAAACCGGCACTTTACGGCCTAGGCCGTAAAATAGAATTTTACATCCGCATCTGTTCTTTTTCTCATTCGTATATCGTAGCAGAGCATCTTTCACTGGTTGAGAGAAAAGTACGATGTTACGACCAATTTTCGGGTCTGAAGCAATTACTTTACAGCCTAGGACCCAAAATGGAAGTTTATGTTCCCGACTTCTAAATTCGTTACACTCAAAGCGGCGTATTATAGCCTTGTGAGGCAGATATGTTCTTTTCTCACCTCCAAGGAGAATGAAGATTTCTAGCCGAATTTTAGGGTCCTAAGCATGAACTGTATGGCCTAGGCCGTAAAATAGAATTTTACATCCGGGTTGTTATTTTTTTTCCAATTCATATATCGTCATAGAGCATTTTTTTACTCTAGTTGAGATAAAAGTTGAATTTTACGATCGATTTTTGGGCTTGAAACAATTATTTTACAGCCTAGGACCCAAAATAAAATTTTATGTTCGGAAATTTTTGCGTACTTCGAGTCCCACAACTGCCTGTGAATAGTTTCTCTACGAAGTCGTGAATAAATATATTGAAATATCACTGCCGAGACCTTAAAATACAAATGTAAGGCCCAATGAGGCCCCTGAAAATTTTATTCTATGGTTTTGATGAGAAAAAAAAAATCACGTACTGTCGGAACGATAGGGGCGGGTAACGCGAGTTTCTGCAATGCCTTCCAGTTGAAATTACTGAACCACTTGTGGTCCCGAATATCCTGAATTCCATTGCGCTGATAGCCGAGTCTCTCCGAGGGACTCAGTCGTAATAATTTTTTTATCAGATTGTTTGCGTTTTTGTTGACAATCGGGGGAATCCCAACCATCTCCACTCCCTTCAGGATTCTGTTGTACGTGGTCATGTGATCGGAGCCACGGAATGGAGGCTTTCCCACTAACAGTTCATGCGTGAGAATGCCTAAGGCCCAATAATCCACAGCTCTGTGGAAGAATCATAGAAAATACATTGTTTAGAACTGGAAGATCGAGAAAATTTTTTGTTGTTTAATTTTTTTCTCTTCTGTCTTCAATCACCTGTCGTGTCCTTTATTGAGAATAATCTCCGGAGCGACGTATTCAGGCGTTCCAGCAAATGTCCACGTCTTGTCAGGCCCAATCTTCTTGCTGAAGCCAAAGTCCACGAGTTTGAGATACCCGCGACTGTCGAGCATAAGGTTTTCCGGTTTGAGATCACGGTAAACAATATTCAGGGAGTGTAGGTGGTCCAGTGCCTCGACGACGCAGCCCACCATAAATTGGGCCGTTGCGTCGTCGAAGTACCGGCGCTTCTGGAGGGTCGTCCATACGTCACCACCGAGACATACTTCCATGAGGAAGTAGACGTATTTGGAGTCTTTGAAGGTTTGATAGAGTCTGAAATGAGAAAGACAGTGTTGATTTGAAACGTTGTATTTCAGAGAATTGGGGTTATGCCGGCTGCCTACGTTAGGACAACGTTGGCAGCCAACGTTGGGGTAATGTCGGTTGCCAACGTTGGGACAATGCCGGCTATCAACGTTGGGAAAATTTCGGTTGCCAACTTAGGGACAATGTTGGCTGCCAACGTCGGGAAAATGTTGGTTGCCAACGTTGGGACAATGTTGGCTGCCAACGCCGGGAAAATCTCGGTTTCCAACGTTGGGACAATGTTGGCTCCCAACGTCGGAAAAATCTCGATTTGCCAACGTTAGGATAATGTTGGCTGTGAACCTCACGGTAATGTCGGTAATGTTGGCTGCCAACGTCGGGAAAATCTCGGTTTGCCAACGTTAGGACAATGTTGGCTGTCAACATCACGATAATGTCGGTTGCCAACGTTGGGACAATGTTGGCTCCCAACGTCGGGGTAATGTTGGTTGCCAACATCGGCGTAATATCGGTTGCCAACATTGGGGTAATGTCAGCTCCCAACATTCAGACAACGTTGACTGCCAACATTGGAGTAATGTCGGGTGTTAACGTCGGGACAATGTTGGCGTACTGTCGGTTGCCAAAGTTGGGACAATGTCGGCAGCCGGCGCTGGGCCAATGTTGAATTCAATGAATCATTAAATTCAAGTAAAAACACGTCGTCTTAGAAATCTCATGCTTAAGCAAATTACTAATTAGTAAACATATGTTGACCATGTTGTGACGAAAACAATATTCCACGTGTTTTGTGTTATATCGACCCATTATGATCCAAAAAATCCGAAAGTGAAATTTTTAGATCGTGTGCCTACGTATGTATGCGATTTCTTCATTCCATAATTTATATAACGATCTACTTCAACAATTTTTGCATTAAAAAAAATCCATGAATATCCCTAGTCATCATTAATCGGACACCGTAAACTCGTCGAATAAGAATTGAAAAAAAAAACTCACTTGCAGATGAAAGCAGAATCGCAAGCCTGCATTATGCACTTCTCATTGAGCACGTGCTCCTGCTGCTGCTGATCAACCATAGTCTTCTTCTTTAGTTTCTTCAGTGCGAAACTCTTCTCAGTATCAGATCTCAAGGTCACGAGTTCAACTCGACCAAATCCCCCAACACCCAGTGTTCCACGGCTCTCTAAATCATAAAGTGTCACGTCCGAGTATTCATTGGTCCAGACCTTTGGTGTCAAAGAGCGCTTTTGTTTTTCAAGCTCTGCTGCCCAATCCGTATTCCTTATCTCGTCAAGACCACCGAGATAATTCAAAAATGTTCTGCAATTTGCGTCAATTGATCAGTTATCGAATTCAATCAATTCAATCAGATCTCAAATCAATCCCATTTTCATCTTCATAAAAATAGATATCTGAGATTTTGGAATCGAAAGTGACCCCAGAGATAACGACGCGAATTTCCGCCTACAAATGCTGGTTGTGAAGCCCATTTTTAGCTCTTGAATTTTTGAAAATACATGCAAATGAGGAAAAAATATAATTCATCATGTCCTTCACCTCTCAATGTTCGCACGCATCACTCGTATCAAAAGATAATGATATAAACATTTCAAGTGTTGCGAAATACTTTGGAGCGCATACATTAAGATGGCGAATAAAAAAGCAAAAGCCATCGTGACCTTTCAACCCCAGAATTTAGACTTACGTGCCGTCCAGAGTGAGACATTCAACGCCAGGTGCTAACGCTATCGCATTAGCTTGCCTTCGATTATCAGCCTTGTCATAGAGTGCTTTCTCTCCGAAGTACTGACCCTTCCCGAGGACCACCAGTTCCTCTTCACCACCGTACTCGGTGTCCTTGGTTATTCGAACGTTTCCGCCGCTGATTATGAAGAATTTGTCGCCTATTTCACCTTGACGAAGGATTTTGGCGCCAGCTGGGAAGAATTCCTGAAGAGAAAACGTATTTTTAAACCGATTCATATGAAAGTTGGGGCGATACGCCATTCATAAGGGTTTCATTCGATAGTCAGGAAAATTTCCGATCGAAAACACTGGTTTTGAGTCTATTTTACTCGAGAACATGGGGATATATACAAGTTTTTGCAGAATTGAAAGGAAAAGATCACTTTTTTGAACAGCTGTACCAGATCTAAAATCCAGATTTTACGGACGGGACCTGCAGAGCTCAGAACTTGTAAATGCAGTAAATACATATGTGAAACGAAGTATAATGTTTGAGAGTTACATATTCCGTGCAGAAAATAGTGCTTTCAGTCTCGATAGGTGATCACGAAAAAGTGAACTTTTCGGACGGTTGTAGAAAATGCAATTTTAAGCTCTTCTGACAGTAAATCTTAATGTGTCTATTTTACACCTGTTTAATAGCTTTGAAAAAGTGGGGTTTTTAGACAACTGTTACGAAAAACAAAATGTATTATAGATGTGGATGAAAAAGTGGCATTTTACGGACTCTCGATGCAATACAAGTTACCCTTCTTCAAGTTCTCGGTCGGAGTGAGCTTAAACAACATTTGAAGGTTACATATCCTGTGCGGAAAATAATGCTTTCTACTCCGATAGGTTGTCCCGAAAAAGTAAACTTTTCGGACGATTGTTGAAAGTGCAATTGGATGCTCTTGTAACAATAAACTATTTAGACTTGCTCAATAGCTTCGACGAAGTGGAGTTTTGAGTCAAGTGTTACGAAAAACAGAATGTATTATAGATGCGGATGAAAAAGTGACACTTTACGGACTCGCGATGCAATACCCTTCGCGTCTTCTGAAATTTTAGATAAAAATCGGTCCAAAACCAGTGACTTTCGTTGTAAATTTCACTGGCTTTCCAATCGTTTATTTTCTTCATTTTTCAAGAAATCAACGTACCCTCGAAAAAATGGACTTACCACTTTAATCAAATCCGATATCTTCGCGAACACGTGTTCCTTGGGTTCAGGAAGTTTCTGAAGCACTGAAACCTTCCTCAGGAACCGAATGTTGCCCTCGAGCCGGTCCTGGGCACTCCTCATCATCACAGTCAGAAACACAGACCGGTCTAGGACCCATACCTTTCCGCCCTTCTTCGACGATATTGAACGCAATCTTTTGGTGTTGTAGAGTAACGCGAGTTCTCCAAATGCAACTCCGGGGCCGAAACTCCTGGCGAATTTACTTCCCTGGTATATGTCGAACTCCCCTTCGGCGGATACGTACAGATGTGATCCTGGAGAAGGACAAAGAAAAAAATTATAGTCCAATTGTTGGTGTTTTTTCAGGTTTTATAATTTTGTTTACCAATATCGCCTTCGTGAATCACTAGATAACTCGGTGGAATGTTCTTTGGGTACATGGCAGACACTAGGGCCTCGACCTGGGGTTCCTCAAGGTTTCCCAAGAATTCGTTCTCCAGTATTGCTCGTTTTATTAGCTCTCTCGATCTGACCAGAGAACATAAGCATGAAACAATCAATTAAAAATATGACGAAAAAATTAAACTTAATACATAGTTCTGCCATTCCATTGCATAAAGTCTGACTTTACGGACGCTTTGCAGGCCTAAGACGCCCCTTTTACGGCCTAGCTTGTAAAAATTGAATTGAAATTCAGCCGTATAAAAAGACGTTAAACCATCTATTTCCTCTATTTTCTGAGACTTTTTGAACTCTTACCTCAATTTACAGCCTAGGACCTAATATTTTCGGTTCTAGGCTGTAATAGTATATTTCGTTACGAGTGCGGAAAAGAGTTTTTTGGCTCGTGGGAGGTTTATAGCATGAGCCGAAGGCGAGTGATATAATCCCACGAGCCAAAAAACACTTTTCCCACGAGTATCGAACGATATTTTTCATCACAATGTGTGGAAAAGGGACTTTAAGGCACGCTTTGCGTGCCTAAAAAGTTACTTTTTCGCACAGCGTGATGAAAAGAACTTTTTGGCGAGGATGAATCATACGAAAAGTTCTACGAGGCAGTAAAGTCAATCACGATCGAGTACTGAACAATATTTCTACAGACTGAGTGACAAAATTCAATTTTACGGTCTAAGACCTAAAATACAACTTTTGGTCTGCGGGCGCTGAAATAGAATTAAGTATCCAAACGTCCGGCTGTAAAGTATGGTTTTTAATTCGAGTGACGAGCAAAATTTTCCCGCAAAAAAACATTCAACAACAACTTCACAAATGACTTATTTACGTCCTAGGCAGTAAAATATGAATTCAGAGCCCCCAATCCGTAAAATGGTACTTTTTGCTGAGCTACGGAAAAAATAAGACAGAAATGACTTTACCGTATATCTTTATCGTAAACAGGAGTGGGTGCAGAGGGTGGTGTTGGCGTTCTCCCAATGACCCCACCCCTGGGAATTTTAACGCTCTCAACCGATAAATTCGATTCAACGGTCTCCGATCTCTCGAGTCTATTCCCATTATCGTTTCTGAAGACTGTGTAGCCTTTTGGGAGCGTTGTCGATCCATTGAGCGTAGTCGAGCTCGAACAATGGCTCAGCTGCGCTCACAAACATATTTCCGTGATTTTTATGATTATTACCAAATTGTTTATGAATAAATTATTGTTGCAAGGACATACCATGCCGTTGACATCGTCTCCGTGACGTTTGTAGCTCATGGGAATCGGCTCTCTGCTGTTCCCATTCTATAAAAATAAGATGGTGGATGATCGATTTTTTATTCAATTATCGATTGATCCAGAAAGTCGATCAGTATAACCTCCCATTTCTTACACTAGCGTAAGAAGACGCGCTTTGCGCGCCTTGAAGGTTAGACCGGATATGACGTACATAGACATCGATTATTTTCATAAATCGAGAAAAAATGATCGATGTCTCGCAGTTTGATTATTTCGAGAATATCGCATCAGCTCCTTTAGTAATAAGGACTAGCATTATAAAGCGCCCGGCAAGATTTTTTAACCTCATCAATGGCTCAATCTTCAATACAAACTGTCATTTTTTTTTATAATCGATAGTCGACAGTTGTTTGCATTGATAATCGATATTTTCATTCGATTAAAAAAAATCGGCACCTCGCAATTTCGAGATTTGGTCTTCTCCTTTAGTAATATTGACTAGCATAAGAAGCCTTGAAGGTTAGACCGGATATGACGTGCATAGACATCGATTATTTTCATAAATCGAGAAAAAATGATCGATATCTCGCAGTTTGATTATTTTGAGAAGACCGCATCAGCTCCTTTAGTAATAAGGATTCCTGCGGCACTAGCGGGATGTAAGAAATGGGAGAAACCAAAATCCGGCTGAGGGGTAATATAAGAAATGGGAGGTTCTACCGAAAGTGGGTCGAGTGGGGGCTCTATCGATAGCTAGAGAAATTTCCGTTTCAGAATTCTGATCATAAACCCATTTTGCCCCACAATGGTTCCATCAAGAGGAAAAATAGTCCCGGAGCTCCTTGGGGTCACTTTCGACCCCATTCTGTCGAATCAATTAATTAATATGATTTTTTTTCTGAATACTCACGCTGATGATGCTGATACCGGTGATACTGCCATTCTCCTCGTTCCCGGGGAGAGGGGTGAGGTTAATACTCCCCCTCTGGCCCAGGATACTAGCCCTCGGGAAACACGAAAATCTCATCTTAATTTCCTTAGAGTCCGTGTCAGCATGATGAATGGAATGCTTTTTTTCTGAAAAAGAGAGTATTTTTGATGTGTCTATTTTGTGGCAGAGTAGCTCCTGAAAAATCTGACTTTATTCTTTTTATTCATTAAAAAGGCATTCTATTTCTCCCTTAAGATGTATTGCAAGACAGTACCACCCAAAAGTTAGTCCCTATGGATTTGCGGAAAAAATTCTGATTTACTCAATTTACTGCATTCTCATAAGTTATTGAGTTTTTTTATACTCATGTTGTTGATGAAGGCAACGATAACTATTTGAATCAAACAGGAAATTATTTTTTGATTAATTGCTTGGATAAAATAAATAATTTTATGAAATTTCCACTTTTTAGAGTTCAATGTGGGAGAAACTATGTCTCTCTCAATTTAACGATTTAACCATTTATTTATTAGAGACTTCCGGCAAACGCCCTTCGAAGCCTACAAAGCATTATTGAAAGCGCAAAGCCCCACAACACGAATTTTTTTTTTTAATGGAAAAACCTTCGGATGTTGCCAATATATAATATTATAATATATAATATTCTAAAGAAAAATAATAATATAATACGGTTGCATTGATTGCAACCGTATTGAATAATATGTAGCACAATATAAAACAAAATAAATGAAAATGCTCATCAAAAAATATCAAAATCAATTATAATATAATCATCAATTATAAAAATCCAAATAGATTTCTGGTGATGAATATTTAGCACTCGAAATTAAGGCTCTAAAATTAAGGGTTAGAGTTTAAGCGTCAAAATTAGGTTGCGTCTCACAACCTTTCTCAACGATTCTCCAGATATTTCAAACGAGTTTCATTTTTTCTTCGAAAATAAAAAACATGTTGCTTACACATACCCCGAGACTCCGCGCTATAATTCCGTTTAGTATTTTTTTATCTTGCGATTGAATGAGTCAAACACGTGGAGTGTCACATGCTCCAGTGCTAATGTTTGATGCATAATATTATGAATGACGTCACGAGGTATTAGCACGTGATGATGAGGAAAAAACAGTGCAAAAGCGTCGGGATGAGCTCTCGGTTTTCGTCTGTTTGAAAGGTGTCAAAGACTCAAGGCCAGGGTTTGTCAACCTGAAGGAGGGGATAATCCAAAATTGTCTGAGTCAATAGTCGGGGAAATTTCCGATTCCAAACACTGGTCATGAACCCATTTTGCCCCGGGAGTTTTTTCGGAATTTGAAATTTCGAAATTCGTGAAAAGAAAGTTTTTTTTTTTTCGATATTACTCCCCATGTCTTGGGGGTTTTCTACCGCTTCTCCTTAACCCATGGCATTAGCTTTAAATCACACAAGTTCATGTTAGAGATCGACCATAAACTTCATATATATATATATACATGTATATGTAGGGGAGGTTGGGGTAAAATGGACACTTTTGACTTTTTTTCAAATATTAGTGACGGGTTGAAATGCTGATGAAATTTAATAATTTTTTTTTCAATACAAAGAGCAATTCTTCCCCTTTTTGATGAGCCTAAACTGAGCTCTATTGATACATATGTTTCTGAGTTATGGATAATTTTTCAAAAGTCTAAAATGCCCATTTTACCCTGCCCTCCCTTATGCATGTAAAAGCCTGCGGGCTGAGGCTGCGATAAATGAAAAATGTAAATAGACATTGTAAATGCACATTGTACAAATAGACGCGTTGAATAAAAATTTTTAATGTAAATGTAAATGTTTTTTTCGATATCTTCAAAACTTAGGGGGCAAAATGGGTTCATGACCGGTGTTCGGAAGCAGAAATTTCCCCGGCTATTGGCTGAGGGGATTTTTATGCATCGAGACATTCGAGGATATTTTTCCGCCATGGAATTCCATTTTTGGGGTCAATGTTGTGATAAGACTCGAGGACAGTTACTCCCACAGTAATTGATATTTGTAGAATTGTGGAAATTATGTTTACAATAATAATACTTGTGTTATCGCAATTGAATGAGCGAACCCTTTATGGCGAGACAGCTTTAATTGCCCTCAATAAAATAACACGTGACGTTAGTTTTATTACTTGACGCTTTCCTCGGTCTCTCGATTTATGGCGGTGAAAACAGTTCGTGAGAATAATCCTGGGATTATTTCAAGGGGAAATATTTTTTATTAGAAATCATTCTACAATTTTTCTCGGCTATTTCGCACATTTCAATCGTTTTTTATGTGTTTAGCAATTACCAATTTATTATTACGACTAAAGTGATTCAATACGATAAAAGATCTCTTCATGGGAACATATAATTTTTCCTGTAGAACTAGTTTTTTCTCAGTGAAGAAGAAATTTTAAAAAAATTACAGAAAAAATTAGCTACGCTAAAAAATTATATGTTCCACATAAGAATATTTGATGGAGTGAACCCGATTTATTTGAGGGAAATTAACCAACTTGATAGAAGGAAATTTAATATCTTTCACAAAAATTGAATTTTTGTCGTGATCATCAGAAATATCCCTAGAAGAATTCGAACTGTTCGCAGGAAAAAATATAATCTTTTGTACGACAATCATTTGATCTGAGAGAACTCCATAGGTTTATACCACAGAAAGAATACATTGACGAGAAAAGGATATTTTTTTTCCCAAAAAAAAAAATTGTCCCCTCGAAATTATTTAGTTTTGCCAATAACACAGTTTTCGGCAAGAAAATTGTAGTTTCCTCTTGAAATTATCATTTGTTCCATGAACATTATCCTATTTACTAAAGATGAAAGAAACGTGAAGTTGTTTTATATCGAAATATCTCGAAACTGCCTGACCACTAATCCTTAATTCTGATTGGTCAATATGTGACACGAAGTTATTCACAAAAAAAAACACGTGGCATTTTCAAATTCTTCAGTGACATAATTTCAAATTCTTCAAAATTTGTGGTAAATTTTTTTTTACGTCATATATATATGTATATATTTCACATGTATATATATATATCATCGGTGAAATTAATAAATTCTGTCCTTTAATGGAGACCGATCATTTAAAAAAATTGAAGATAATTAATTGAAAATGAAAAATTCTTTATAGATTCTTTTACTCTACTTCGCTATGCACTTCAATCATTAGTCGAATTCTCCCTGATTCATTATCAATATTTATAAGGTATTCATGAGAAAATGAAATTCAATGAATTCCATTTCTTCATTTCAACAAATGAATAGATCAGCGCGCGCATAGATCTTGTAAGTGTTTATTGGACAAAGATGTGCAGTACTCAATAACATTCACTTGATAAAACCGGAGCCTCATATAATTCTCTGTAGAACGAATGTATTTACCCGAAAGACATATAAATGTCTCACGAGAACAATTACTACTACGAAAATTATCATGTTTTGGTGGAAACTTTCTTTTTGTCCACAAGTAGTTGATCCAATAAGACAAAAGATCTCAAAACTATTTTTTTCTCTCAATGCATGAACACGATTTAAAAATTTCATTCTCGAACATTTTGGATCACAATCGGTTGATAAACCCCAAAAAATCGAAAACTTAAATTTGAACGACAACAAAACTTCCATTCGGATGTAAAAATATCATTGTTCAGAGAAGAAATCTAAAACTCGAGTTTTCACTTTCAGATTATTTTTATTGAAGGTTTCAAAATCCGGGAAAATGGCTTCTTCAGTTCTAAAATTAGAAAAATATGGCTTTACGATGTAACAGATAATTTTCGGTGGCTCGTTTTAGATTGTTTCTATGGGAATTCATGTACTGACGGCTGGAGATACTGATAACAATATTTGAACAGCTAAACGTGCTTAGACACAGGCGCTGCGTAAAAAATGAAAGATGAGTTCATTTTCATTTTTAAATGGAACAGAAGATGGGGTAATATTGAGAACAATTGATTCCTCGGAATGAGGATAATTAAGAGTGATTAGCGTTTCCGTTATTATCAAGCATTCACTCGTAAAAAACAACAATTGCATTTTTCATTTTCTCTTTCGAGAAAAAACAATTTTTTTCTATCTCCGCAATTTTTTAAAAATAATTTGTAAATATAACTTCAAATTTTTTCTCTTGAAGTGCACGTAGAAGTGCAGACAATATTTTTCGGTTTATAAAAAAAAAAATATGGAAAAAATTTTGTAGAATTAAAAAAAAAAATTTTTCGTTCGAGAAAAAAATTTTTTTTTCATCTCTGCAATAAAAAAAAAAGTTTAATATAACTTCAAATTTTTTAAAATAATTTATAGAAATAATAACAATTATTTTTTCTCGTGAAGTGCATGTAGAAATGCAAACAATATTTTTCTATTTATAAAAAAGAAAGATGAGTGAAAATTTTGCAGAATTTTTTCATTTTTTTTTAACAAGAATTTCTTCATTGTAAATTGTTCCTGGAATGTCTGATGGACGGACTTAATAAAAACAACTATCAGCTGTGGCGATAGGGAGTGAAAAAAAAAGTGAGATGCAGTTGATGGATTGTTATCGAGTAGATGATCGAGTGAATTCCACGTTTCGTTTCCTATTGGAGATTGCGATTGATAAATTAAGCGGTGGATTAATGAATGCCTAGTGAGAGTGTGTCAATAACAGGTGCTCATTTTAGCCGGGGCTTTCCCCGGATGGAATGTGGAAATGGACTGTTTCAATAAGTTTGGATCTGCTTTGTTTACTTTCTTTGGAATTCTCTAAAGACTTTCAACAACGGTTTTTCTAATTACTGACTCATTTTATTTTCCCTCATCTTATAAGTTTATTAAATTTTTTAATTAATTTTCACGAATGAAGGTGTAAAGATCGAGCTAAAAATCATTCAAAGTTATTGTAAAATATAAAATAGAAAATGACATAAATTAAAAAAAAAAATCATGCAAAATAAAAATCTCTACTATTCTCATCCTCAAAATTGTTTGCCCAGTTTAACAAAATCAAAAAAATTAAATGTGTCTTAAAATTCGATTAGTTGCTCCCAATTTTCTTGGCAACTGATGAAGGGTCACTCATATAATTAAGGTCTTTTAATCTACTCATATAAAAAATCCATCAGTTCCTCGTTATTCTCTCATCTCAAATAAATTTCCAAAAGAATCATGAAAAACCTAAATGACCCGAAATTACGATTGAACGTACCAGAATCATTATGAATCTACAATCACTCAAAATCATTTAAACATGTATATTTTCTATGCTAAAAGCATCGAGACGCCTATTGTTTTCATCCTCAGAATTATTTCTCCATCTCAAAAAAAAATAAAAAGAAACAATCGTGTCCCAAAATTCCCAATGAGTGTCCCAGAATAATTCTCTATTTACAATCACTCAAAAACATTCAAACATTTATTTAACATTTAATTTTTTTCTCTAAATTCTAATTCTCTTAGAATTCTTTAATGCCTAAAGGAGGTTAGGCGGTGTATGAGGTGAATTTGAGATTGAATTTCTGTGGTTCCCGGTAGCTTAGTCGGTAAGAGTGCCCGGCGCGGATCTGGGAGACCCGGGTTCGATTCCCGGCTGGGTGAAGCGGAAATTTTTTTCTCTAAATTCTAATTCTCTTATCATTTCTATTCTCAGCGTTTGATCCCCACGTCAACCAGAAAAAAAAAATTTGAAGTGGAAAATGTCCCACAATTCCCTCTGCAAAAATTCTTAAAATTATGCAAAATTGAAGTGTCTCAAAACAGACACTCAAAAGCATCGAGACACCTATTATTTTCATCCTCAAAATTATTTCCCCATCTCGAAAAAAAAAGAGAAACGAACGCGGCCCATTCGCAATGAGTGTCCCAGAATGATTATCAATAGAAAATCACTCAAAAACATTCAAACATCCATTATTTCTGTTATCAACGTTTGTTCCCCATTTCAAGAAAAAAAAAATAAAAAGTAGAAAATGTCCCACAATTTCTTTTGCCACAAAAAATAAAAAAAATCGTCTGAAATCAGAATGTCTCAAAATAATCATTCACACGCATTAAAACTCTTGTTTTTTCCCACCTAAAAAAATAATAAAACCTAAAATTATCTCGGGAACAACCCCATTTCAAGATGAAAAAAAATTTCAAGTAGAAAATGTCCCACAATTCCATCTGCCAACAAATTTTTTTAAAATCATGCAAAATTGAAGTGTCTCAAAACAGACACTCAAAAGCATCGAGACACCTATTATTTTCATCCTCAAAATTATTTCCCCGTCTCGAAAAAAAATAAAGAGAAACGAACGTGTCCCAAAATTCCCAATGAGTGTCCCAGAATAATTCTCAATTTACAATCACTTAAAAACATTCAAATATTTATCATTTCTATTCTCAGCGTTTGATCCCCACTTCAAGAAAAAAAAAACTTTTGAAGTAGAAAATGTCCCACAATTTCTTTTGCCACAAAAAATGAAAAAAATCGTCTGAAATCAGAATGTCTCCAAATAATCATTCACAAGCATTAAAACTCTTGTTTTTTCCCATCTTAAAAAATAATAAAACCTAAAATTCTCGATTTTTTTTAATTTTTTCACTTCTTCATATGCCCAAAGAACATTTCTGTCCCCGAAAACACTCCCAAAATTTCCAAAAAAATCGCCACCCGCTCCCCACCCCACAAAATCCCGCAGTATTGACTCACCTAATGGAATCAATCCATCCGTGCCCCTCGGCACGAATAATGAAGATGCAGACGCGTTCACCGCTCAACTGTTGCTCTTTTGTGCGTCAAGAAAAGACTCCGCGGAATCTTATCGTTTCTCTACATAACGATAACAGCAAATTGTCAACGATATTATGCGCGCGCAAGTCTTATCTAAAGGTCGTCTACGAATTTCTCTGTACAAAAATGTGCCCTTCGACTTGAAAAAGGGGAAAAAAATCGATTTCTGTTTTTATCATTTTTTTTTTAAAGATCAGTGCACCTGAATTACATCACACGATGATTCAGATTGAGAGAAGGGGGATGAGCACCTGTTCAAATGTCTTGCACAGAATGACTTGAGAGATTGCCTTGATAAATTACCTTAGTCTATAAACGAAAATATTGAAAAAAACTTGAATTTTTTTTTTAGAAAATTGTTGAGTTTTTGAAAAAGCGGAATCTTCCAATTGTTTAAAAATAGCAACTTTGTTATTTTTGGGAAATGCAAATATTGGATTTTTTGAAAATGGGAATTTTTCATTTTTAAAAAATTGACAGTTTATGATTTACTGGAGTGGGGGGTTGTGGGTACTCTCATCCGACACCTACGGACATTTCCGTTTCCGAACCCTGATCATAACCCCATTTTGCCCCATTATATCCCAAGCTATTGCGAAATTAACAAAATTTTTGTGAGTAGTGTTTGGAAACGAAAAAATGACATTCCATTGATTTTCGTCGCAAAAAAATTCATTCGATGATGTTTTTATCAACAAAAATTGCGAAAAATTCGTACGTACCCACACACACACACAGATATCCCATTAAAAATAAGTGGAAAATAATGTGGAGATCTTGAAACGTGAAGATTTGATGAATAATCGAGAATCGATTTTCGGGGTAATGACAATAATAACTTCTCTTATCAGGCAGCTAAAAAAATTGATTTTTCAAAAAAATTTTCACTTTTGAGAAATGGAATTTTTTATTTTTCGCGAAATAGAAGTTTTTTATGTTTGAAAAATTAAAAATTTAATTTTTTTGGAAATGTAAATTTTTAATTTTTTGGAAATTTTTCATTTTTGAAAAAAAAAAAGAAATGTTGGAAGTTTCTGGAGTAGCGGCTTGCGGGTACTCTCATCCGACAGCCATGGAAATTTCCGTCTCGGAACCCTGGTCACAACCCCATTTTGCCCCACTATTTCCCAAGCTATTAGATAAACGAAGTTTTTGTGCCTAGTGCTTGGAAATGAAAAAAATATATAATGTAAATGAAATGTATTTTTTTTTATTATTTAAAATGAAATGTATGGAAACGAAAAAATGACAATCCGTTAATTTTTGTCTCTTAGAAAAAAAATCATCCGATGATGTTTCCACTCACAAAAAATGCGGAAAAATCGTTTGTTTCGATTTCGAAAAAAAAAATTGATGAATTGAATTGTCACCAAATGTTTATAATTCTCATATACTCACCGGAAGTGAACCCGTCACCTCTCGCGATTCGCGAAAAACACTGGAATAATGAATAACTACTGAAGACTATTTTTCCACTGGAATAATACACAATAGCATTACCTAGATCTTTTGAAATAAACGAAGAAACAAATCTTTGAGACGCAGAGCGTCGAGGTGTTATCACCACCGAGGCTCTAGTGCTACTGGTGCGACTGAAAAAAAACCGACAAAGCGCTCGGTCATGCGGTTAAAGCCACCGATACCAGCATTTTTTGTCAATTATTATCGTTTCACACCTGATACCTGTGATCCAGTCATTCGCACGTGAAAAAAATCGTGAAGCGACGTAAAAAAATCTGCACCGGCAATTCTCAATTCACGTAAATTTCAATCATCAATTGAGTTAAAAAAAGATGCGTCGGCTAAATTAACAGTTGTTTAAAAATAACAAATTGTTTTTATATAGATATTGTGACGATTTTCGAAAATGGAAAATTCCATTTTTGAAGTGGGACATTAAAAATTCTTAGAATGGATCGTCAGAGAAATTTTTCGGTCCAAAATACCGGACATGAGTCCATTCTGCCCCACTGGATCATGAATAATCACGAAAGAAACTCTTCAGTAAAAATCCGTCTTCGAAGTTTCGAAAAAAAAAATCGTGGAGCGACGAAAAAATCTGCACTGATAATTCTCAATTCACGTAAATTTCAATCATCAATTGCGTTAACAAAAGATGCGTCGGCTAAATTACCAATTGCTTGAAAAGAACAAATTGTTTTGATAAAGATATTTTGAGGATTTTCGAAAAAGAAAAATTGCATTCTTAAAGTGGGACATTAAAAATTCTTAGAATGGATCGTCAGAGAAATTTTCCGGTCCAAAATACCGGACATGAGGCCATTCTGCCCCACCGGTTCATGAATAATCACGAAAGAAACTCTTCAGTAAAAATCCGTCTTCGAAATTTAGAAAAAAATCGTGAAACGTCGAAAAAAATCCGTGTTGTCAATATTTTGACGATTTTCAAAAATAAAAAAATGAATTTTTGAGATGACGCATTAGAAGTTTTTGCCCGAAGAATTTTCGCTTCAAAACACTGATCGCAAACCCATCTTGCCCCAGTGGTTCATGAGTATTCGCTCAAAAACGGTTTTTCGGGGAAATCTCGTTTTTGGAATATCTTGGGAATTTTTTATTTTCCTGTCAATGCAATAAACCCTCCAGTAAAAATCCCTCTTCGAGAAGTTTTTCAATTTAAAAAAAAACAGAAATTTCAAATTTTTGTAAAAATTTTTATTTTGACGATTTTCGAAAACCAGAAGTTGAATTTTTAAAGTGACGCATTAGAAGTTTTTGGGATGAATTGCCCGAAGATTTCCGCTTCAAAACACTGGTCGCAAACCCATCTTGCCCCAGTGGTTCATGAGTATTCGCCCAAAAGCGGTTTTTGGGGAAATCTCGTTTTTGGAATATCTCGGGAATTAAAAATTTTCCTGTCAATGCCATCCAACCCTCCAGTGAAAATCCCTCGTCGAGACGTTTTTCAATTAAAAAAAAAAACAGAAATTTCAAATTTTTGGAAAAATTTTCATTTTTAAAAAAAATAAAATTTTGGAAGTGTTTGGAGTAGGGGGTTGTGGGTACTCTCGTCCGACGGCCAGGGAAATTTTCGTTTCCGAACCCTGATCATAACCCCATTTTGCCCCACTCTTTCCCAAGCTCTTTGATAACCGAAGTTTCTGTGGCAAGTATTTGGAAAAAAAGACCAATTAAATATGACTAACGGATGCGTAACAATAGCTGAAGTGATGCTTACATAACTCACTTCCATCATTTTTGTGGATTTATTCTCGCTAAGAATTCCCAAAGTAATAAAAAAATCCCTCAAGGTCAAGCGTTATTGCTTCAGTTACGCCCGGATTGTCAAGAAAAATGCGATGAATAAACTGAGTGCGACAAATGCTCGAAGTGATTTCATTTTTCTTCGAATATTGACTATTAGAAAAATGAAGAATGAAAATATCTAGATAAATCATTCACCCAATGAATCATTCTTTTAATAAAAATCCTCAATTATTGTTCCAACGTTCGTAAAAAGAAAAAATCGTGTTGTATTCTCTAATTTTATTTACATTCGTTGGATGATAAAAAAATTGTTTATAATCAATGCAGATACAAAAATATCAGTCGTCAGTTGATTGGCCCATCTCCGAGGCCCTCAACATGGCTGCGAATGCTCCCAGCGGTTTTGTTGACAATTCCTTTGGCGTTCCCTCCTCCACGATTTTCCCTTCATCAAACACAATAATCCTGTCGCAGGAGAGGAGCGATGCCACTCTGTGCTAAAAATAACAGAAATTTTACTTCATTCGAGACAGGCCTTTTGATTTTAAATGAATAATTCGAATGAATTCAGTAGCGAAATGGTAAACCGGTATAAGTTGCTTTGACTATTGCCCAGTTTTCAATAAATATCTCGGAATCTAAGGTTCTCGGAATCTTTAGGTCCAAATAAATTGTCCCAACGTTTCGACTCCCAGTGAAGTCCTCATCAGGAATTTTCTTCATTATTAGAGAATTTCTATACTTTCAATTTTTTGATTGCGCAAAAATTCAAGTAAACGATAATTACTGCGATCGTGATGACAGTCCTCTCTCGGAAAGCATTGGACACCTCTCGTAGTAGCTCCTTCTCGGTTGATCCATCGAGAGCACTGGTGGCCTCATCAAGCACCACCACCGCTGATTGTCGAAGAGTCGCTCGGGCCATACTCAGCAATTGCAATTGTCCAGCTGAGAAATTCTCCCCACCCTCTCGCACCTCCAAGTCCAATCCCTCGGGATGAGCCGCGATTATGTCCTTCATTTGTGCTAGCTGAAGAGCTGACCACAACTCTTCATCATTGTGTTCAGCAAGGGGATCCAAATTCTCCCTGTAAAAAGAAACAAGTGAATAATAATAATAATATGATAAGTTGAATTTAATTGTTCGTAAAACGGTTCCATGCCGAGAGCAAAAATGAATAGAATAGTTTTTACTGAAAGGAAAATGAAAATTCGGAGAATGTGGGTCTTCTGTGAATAATCAAAAGGTATCGATGTGGGATGGCAAATGAAAAGTAATGAGGAAAATATCATTATAAAATATTTTCCTCAAATGAAAATCCGTAATAAACGGATTTTCAAACTATAACATTCGAATTTATCTGTTCTCATATACAACACCGATGCGTCCCATCAAATTGCAAAACAGTCACGAATTCTATCATCCCCATTCTGATTTGTAATAGGGTTCGATGAATTATTTTGGCATTTTCGATGATTTATTTTGGCATTTTTTTGCCCAAAAATGCAAAAATAAATAAAATTCATAAAAGAAAACCTGAAGACTCGACACGAAACAAATTTTAACAACCGTTTACTCGAGAAAGTGACTCTTCCCTGAATAATCAAAAGATATCGATCTAGAATGAAAAATTAAAATTGACGATGAAAATATTTCAAAGTTATATTTTCTTCAAATGAAAATACACAATAGATGGATTCTCAAACTATAACAGTCGAATTTATCTGTTCTCATATATAACTTACTCGATTTCTTACGTAACCAATATGAGAAGGCATCCGTGCAACCGATAAAATTCCAAAACGGTCACGAATTCTATCAGTCCCCTTCTGATTTGTTAAACAGTTCATCGTTTTCGCCCAAAAATACCAAAATGAATGAAACTCGTAAAAAAAAAACTGAAGATTCGACACGAAACAAATCTTAGCAACCGTGTACTCGAGAAAGTGACTCTCATGAATAATCAAAAGGTATCGATCTAGAATGAAAAATTAAAATTGATGATGAAAATATTTCAAAGTTATATTTTCCTCAAATGAAAATACACAATAAATGAATTTTCAAACTATAACATTCGAATTTATCTGTTCTCATATTTCACTCATTTGGTTTTTTACATAATCAGAACCGAAAGGCATCAGTACAACCGATGAAATTGGTCAAAAACAGTCCCGAATTCTATCAGCTCCATTCTGATTTGTAATACAGTTCATCGGTTTTTGTCTAAAAATACCAAAATAATGAAAATTCATAAAAGAAAAACTGAAGCCGTTTACTAGAGAAAGTAAACGGCTCTTCCATGAATAATCAAAAGATATCAATCTGGAACGAAAAATTGAAATTGATGATAAAAATATTTCAAAGTTATATTTTCCTCAAATGAAAATCCACAATAAACGGATTTTTAAACTATAACATTCGAATTTATCTGTTCTCATAACGGGAATGACATTTTCCGGAAAAAAAGTCAGACATTTTTAGCGTGTCTTTTTTTTCACCTGCAACTTCATCGAACATTTTCCTACCTCTCTACCACAATAATCACATTTTCATCTTCTCAAATTGAATCCAAATTATGGCCTTACCTGATGGTCCCACTGAACATGATGACATCCTGAGGTATAGCGGATAGTCTAGACCTCAAACTAAGAAGCGAAACTCTACGCAAATCGATTCCATCGATGAGGATTCGACCCTGAGAGACTTCCAAAAGTTGAAACAGCGCCATCACTGTTGTTGACTTTCCACTTCCGGTTCTACCACAAATTCCCAACTAAAAAAGTCACCAGTAAATCGTTTGGTCATTGAATTTTGTCTGTGGGATTGTAACGGAGTCGAATGAAACAGAATAAGAAGAGTTAGAAGAAATTTACACAATTTTGAGAATTAATCGAATTTAACCTCATCCAAAATTTTGTTTTTTTCCGTCAGGGTTTTAATTTGGAAGATGAGACTTGAGCCCCTGATGACTCGAAATTTTGGAAATATTTCAGAATCGAGTGTTCAATTTATGAATGCGTTTCCTCTTGATGAAATAAATAAAGTAGATAATGAATTTTGAACAATCAACTGTTCACCTTTTGACCGGCAGAAATTTTGAGATTCAAATCCTTGACAACAGGCTCAGCCTGTGGATGATAACGAAGAGAAACATTTTCGAAAATGATTTCTCCCTTCTCCGGCCAAGTTTCTTCAGCTTCATATCCTGCAAGGAATTTTCAATTCTTTTGTTCAATAATTTATGTCAACTTATTTTCCAACTCCAAATGAAACTCTTCAAATCATTTTTTTTTATCATCGAAAAATGATGAATTCAAAATACTCAGGTGACCTTGGATGACGTCACACCTCTCATCCACCGACGCCATCTCTCTTAGGATTTGCGTATTGATAAATGAAATAATCGCGATTTAGGAAAATGGAGTTATGTTTTTTGCGAGAATAAAACCTTTTTCCTGAACAATGTGATAAATAAATGGACAAAAGGCAAAATGGACACTCCGAAGTATGCATTGATAGAAAACCGACAAAGTTCTCAAACAAGTCTTACTTGTGCCAAAAAAAGTTTTTTGAAAATGCTCAAAAAAGGATTTGTTTGTGCCAAACATGCAGAGAGTGTGCCGAAATGAGAAATTTTTGTCGCAAAAATAGATTTAGTAGTTAAAAAAAAATTGTATTCTCTGTACACGCAAGAAATGTCATTTCTAGCACTACTCCTTCGTTATTCGATACTCCCATACGTATTTTGCTCCCGAAAAATCTTTGTTTTATGCGAAACAAGGGATAGTAGTTTTTCGTTTCGGCTGTCTAATAATCACAGACCAGAAATGAACCCTTAAATGAAACAATAATAATGATATGATAGTAATCTTGTAACTTGGGGATAAAATATTTGTTGATAAATTTTCCTCTATACGAGATATTGTCATCCTGAAAAGGCACCGTCTGGTGTGAATTATCCGCCTCTTGAGCCAAATATTTCGTTGCTGTCAAAAGCAGAACAATTATTCATGTTTGAGACTTTCAAATTTGAACCGAACAAATGCTTTTTTGGCAATTTTGAGACTTGTTTGACAACGTATTTATTTTTCTCTCAGTGTACGGAAGTGTGACGTCATTGTCCCCTCCCCAGGCAATTTTTTTACAATTTTCATGAGATAGACGAAATAATGATGTGAAATATCCCTATTGAACAATTGAAATTACCATTTTCCCTGTAATTCTCCCGTGGAACTTTCGTGTACTCGGTTAATCTCGTGACACTTCCCATGTACATCTCAATCTCCGAGACAAATTTAACTACCCAGTTAAGATAAATCGGTACAAGAAACGCGTAATTGATGGCAAGACCAACAAATGCAGGTGTTACCCAGTCTGGGTAAAACTCTGCGCATACAAGAGCCATGAATATGGAGACCACCACCAACGCCGCTGCCAAATAATCCTGAGAACATCACCAACAATTACCAAATTACCCTCACACTTGTAGCAAAAAACAAAACAGACAACAGGAGCAATGAAAAATATGAATTTTTCATTTTCTCCGCGTTTCGTCTTTTGTGAAAAAAGAAAATTGTGAAAAACTGAAGATACCAGAACAATGCCCAGCCACCGCGTGCTGGTGTTCACAATGAGAAAAGCGTTTGTGTTGGCGTCCAGGTACTCGATCATGTCGTCCATGAAGCGATCCTGTTGCTTGGAAGCTCTCACGGTAGGCAAACCCGCCAGTGTTTCTGAGAAATGTGCAGCAACAGGTCCTCTAGTGCTGGAAATAACAAGTGGGAAGTGGTTACATCAACTTGACTTGCTGCACTGCGAAAACTAATGTCTGAATTTCAGACACTTGTAAACACTTTTCAAAGACTTTTGGGACGATTTTACAGACACTTTTGAGACATTAAAATGTGTCCGAATCAATGGAGGTATTTCAATTTCAGACACCAAGATGTGTGTGAAATTTCAAGTGAAACTTGAAATTTCATCACTATCTAAAAGTATAATCATATGATGTCACCCTACAATTGTCCTCGGCTGTTGGGTCTTGAATAATTAAATGACAACAATAACAATAGCCATTTCATCACCATGAAATGCTCCACCGATCAAAGAACCACTTCCGACAATACGGAACTCATTGATTACCTCCCTTCGAGCTTCTGGAGTTCCCTCGCGCTCTTCATATAAAACTCCTGTAGACGAAAATAACCCACTGATGTTACAATAACAGCAACGAGGAACCACGGCGAGATGCAAACATTGACGATCATCGCGGATCCACACAGTAGAATGAAAGAAGTCAATCTCTGAAAAGTTGTCGATAACTTCTTATCGATGACTCCAACGTCGGCGCTGAATCTGTTCAGGATTTTCCCGATGGGAGTTCGCTCGAAGAAACTCATTGGTGCTCTCAGAAGGGAGGTTATGGCCTCTTGGTGGAGAGTTTTCCGAGCTGTGGCACCTGCCCACTGGCCAGCTGCACTGACGAACGCCGAGAGGATGATCGAACTGATGGAGAGGATGATGTACATCCAGAAGTAGAAGACTGTCTGGAGGGAAAAATTCAGGTATTTTATTGTCTCCGAATGGCAGTATTGCATTCGTTATATTCGAAAGTTAGAATTTTTGTGTCGGGATGAGGGAAAGGTGGAAAATATTAACGTTGGGGCAATGTTGGCTGTCGACGTTGGGCCAATGTTGGCAGCCAACATTGGGGCAATATTGGCTGTCAACATTGGGACAATATTAGGCCATGTCGGCCCAATGTTGGGACAACGTTGGCCCAACGTCGGCCGCCAACGTTGGGCAGTATTGGCTGCCAACGTCGGGCCAATGTTGGGGAGATATTGGGCCAATTCTGGCTGCCAACATTGGGACAATATTGGGGCAATGTCGGGTCAATGTTGGCTGCTAACGTTGGGTCAATGTTGGCGTAACGATCAAGTAATGATAAACCTCCGTCTGACCTTCTCAAAGCTCAAACTTAGTTCTTGAATTTCCCTAAAATCGAGAACAAAATCCTGTTACCCTTACCTGTTCATGAATGCCAGTTCCTTCAATCACCCCAGCCCTCAAATTTGTCCACTTACTGAGCCACACGTCAGTGTAGACCCGGAGACCTTGATATCCAAGGGCCGCCCCCAGGTACATGAAGCAGCGGCCAACCCCCCCGGCCCTCAGGTATGCCAACCAATCCCTGCTGCCCACCATTCCCCCGTTGTCTTCGTAATTCTGCTCCTCTTCGTTCTCTTCGCTCCTCTCTTGGGATTCCTCTAGGTCTTCTGCTCTGGACTCTGTGGAGATGAGTCTTCTGATTGTCCTCCCGTCGAACTCAGGGTTCTTAATGGAGGATGAGGACATCAGCCTCTTTAGCACTTTCTTCTCTTTGTTCGAGTTACCTTCGTCGGATAAGGGGATTATTCTTCCGGAGAATAGTTGTCTGAGCATACCGGCACTTTGTTCACTGTCAACAAAAGATGGGAATGTGGATGAAGGAAGAATTTCTTGTTCGAGATGATGGGACGATCGAGTCTCCGAAGAGTCTCGTAAAGGTCGCACAAAAGTATCTCAAGTCTCTGAAGAAACTGTTGAATTTTTTTTTATTTGAAAAAAATTTTCGAAGTCTTAGGAAGTCTGCTAGAATTTTCTAAGGTTAATATCATTTGTATGTCTCTTAAGAGGTCTATTAAAAGGTGTGAAGCTAGTAAAGTCTCTTGGATGTCTCCTGAACTCATCCTGCGAGATTTTTTGAAGTCTCAGAAAAATGGCTTCGACTTTTAGTATCCCAATAATTTGCTGAAGTCTGTTACAAGTCTCTTAAGTCTCCAAAATCCTCTCGAATATCTCCTGACCCTTCTCAGTCGAAAAGACCCTTCAAAGCCTTTGGAAAAGCTTTATTATAACCTGTCTAACGCTAAAAAAAACTCGTAGGATTTTTTATAACGATTCTCATGACGCGTAAAAGTTTCTCATGTCTCGAAAAAAAATGTCTCTTACAGGTCGCCTATGATTTGTTGAATCCAAGAGACGTTAATAAGTCTCTAAGAAAGTTATTTACATGTCCTAAAAAGCTCTTTGAATCCGTCCGACTCGAAAATCTGTTCGCGGTCTCTTAGAAGTAAGTCTAAAAGAGAAGAAGTAGAAGTTTTTAATTCTGAAGACTCTTAAGAGTCCTTTCCATTTTTCTCATTCTTTCAAAATTATTAGTCATCCATAAAACTCTTTTCTTCCTTCACCACTCTAAGATATCTCAATGCGTCAAGTCTCATAACTCTCCAAGTCTTTAAGAATAAAAATAAAACTCACTCTCCCGTAGTATTATGTCTCTTCCTCGGCACGATGTGGTGGCTCTCCAAAATAGTCGGAGTGCTGCTCTGTCTCAGCACAGGTGGTGGATGTTTGGGCGGTTGTAGACTAATAGCCCTCGCCGCACTCCTGTGCCTCTTAGACCGCTTTCTCATGCTCCCCCACTCCTCCGCGGGTACGGGAAGGTCTGTGAGATCATGCGCGAGGTATCTGGACTCTGACAGCATTGACTTCCGGTGCCTGAGGGGGACAAAAACAGGTGGCGACACGTGCGCGTCTTGCTCCGTCATCCAGGAGCCGTCGCTCGCGTGTCTGTGTTTCGCCGAGAAGCCCGCGATCCTCGAGACCAAGCGGACGAGGGACCAGCGGTCCTTCGCGGTCCTGTGGATGACGTCCGCTCGTCTCTTCGCGGCTTCCTTCCATTCTTGGAGGAGTTGGGGGTCTGTGGCTTCTATGAGAGATAAAGGGCCGACGGAACGGAGTCGACAGTTCTCCAGGGCCACGATGTTGTCGGCGAGGGGGATCAAGTCTAGGCGGTGTGTCACCATGAGAACGGTGCGAGACTTTCGGAGGAGGAGCTTCTGAATGCCCTGCTCGAAGATCTGCTGACTTACCTGACGAAGTAGACCGGTCAGGTTATGTTGACGGAGGTCAACCGGGTTGAGGGTAGGCTTGATCGCTAGCCAGGAAAATTTCCGATTCGAAACACTGGTGTTGAACCCTTTTATCTCTTCAAGTTCCCTAGCTATCGTGAAAAACAAATTTGACCTTGAAATGCGTTTTGGACACGCCCACCTGACCTTGGAAACAATTTCCTCGAAATCTCGAATACTAGTAGACATAAAAGGATTCAACACCAGTGTTTTGAACCGGAAATGTTCCCAGCTTTGCAATGAAATCATTTTTAGTCCTCTGACTTGCCAAAAATTTTACCTGTTGGTCCAGGGCGGACAGAGGATCATCCAAGATGATAGTGTCAGCATCAGAATAGATCGCCCTCGCGATGGCAATCCTCTGCTTCTGCCCTCCACTCAAATTGATGCCCTTCTCTCCGATCCGCGTCATATCCTTTCCAGGTAAAATGTCAACGTCCGGTTGCAGTGCGCAAGCGCGGAGGACACTCTTGTACCTGCTCTTGTTGTAAGTAGAGCCGAAAAGTATATTCTCTCGGAGAGTTGCGTTCAGCAGCCAAGGGCGCTGGGAAACGTAAGCAACTCTGACATCCTTCGCCCATTCAATCGTTCCTCTCAGCTTTAGATTCTCTCCCAACATTGCGGAAATCAGGGACGTCTTGCCACTTCCGGTTTTCCCGACGATTAGGGTCAATTTACCTGGAGGTAGGACATGGAGGATGGGTATAATGAATAGCCGGAGAAATTTCTGGCTCAAAACACTGGTGTTAAACCCTTATAGCTCGTAATAAACAAGCTTGACCTTGAACTGTTTTGGCTACGCCCACTTGACCTTGGGATCTATTTCCCCGATATTTCGACATCTAGATGAGATAAAAGGGTCCATGACCAGTGTTTGACAACGGAAATTTCCTCAGCTATCGATTGAAGACATTTTCAATGCTCTGTCTCTCAAACTCGTCGCAAAAAAATGGTTCTCAAAATTTTGTTACAAAACGATGGTCATTTTCAACGCTAGAGAATTGTAGATAATGACCTCTAGGTATGACGAGTTCATCAACGACAAGATGTGCCTCTTCCGATCCCAGGCCGAAGATCCCATTGATGTACAGAAGCGCTGGCTTCACTGGTTCCGCTTCTTTCTCGAAGACAGTATCGCAAGAGGAACTTGTGTCGTATTTTCCGAGCAGATGAAGACACGGATGTTCCTCCTCATCTTCTGTGATGTTGCCGAGGGTTCCGAATGTCGAAATACTCTGGATATTTCTCTCCCCCTGAGAAAAAAAAATGCTCATTTATTTTTCCTTCCGAATGGAAGTATTGTATTCATGAATTGAATGTTGAAAAAATTTATTTTGAAACCAATATTCAGGGAAAGGTAAAAAACATTAACGTCGGGCCAATGTTGGGGCAATGTTGGCGGCCAACGTTGGGTTATAATATTGGCGACCAATGTTGGGGCAATGTTGGATCAATGTTGCCTGCCAGCGTTGATATAATGCTGGCTGCCAACGTCGGGGCAATGTTGGGACAATGTTGGCTGCCAACGTTGGGTTAATATAGGCTGCCAACGATGGAACAATATTAAATTCAATGAATCACTGGAGTCAATTAAACATACATCATAATAGTAATTCCATTTGGAAGCAAATTACTAATTTATTAGCAAAAATATATTGACTATATTGTGACGAAAACAATTTCCCACTTGTTTGTTGTCGATAAGAAAAAGAGTCGCACTTGATTGAATCCAATTGTCGGCTAGAATGCATCGGAATAATTGACCTCTATTAATATATTCCTTCCCGATAATTCTATTTTCAATCGAATAAAACGGAATTGGTGTGGAGATAAAAATTACAGAGCTCTCATTGATGGATACTGAGTTGGTCTGCTCATCGTCTTCGTCGCTGGTTCGTCGAGTCTCGACTTCCGGGAGTACGTTGGCGGTCTCTGGCAGTGATAAAAAGTCCTCCAACCTCTTGGTTGAGTTCTAATAATAGAAAATGGAATTAGTGAACAGTAAACAGACCGATGTAACAGCTTCATTCGTTGGAAAACCCTTTTGATGAGATCGGAAATTACTGCATTAGATAAATTTTTTTTTTTTCATTAGACTAGGGAAATGGCGCACGCATAAAATGTAGGAGTCTCATGTTAAGCTAATATTCATTCATTATTCAGGCTGTTTTTAAGAGTGATTAATTTTTGCAAATAACGAAAGTTCTAATAGGATGTGGAAGGAATTAGAGGGTTATATGATATTATTTCAACATTTTAACAGTGAATTCTACTTTATTCGATTTGTTTCATGTTCTGTATCATTATTTTTATTGTTTACGTCATGGGAGTTGACATTCAAGTATAAGACTTAGTTTCAGAAAAAATAATGGGAGGATTAGGTGTCTCATGACTTGTTAGAAGAGAAAAAAATAAGATGAAAAGAACAAATAATTTTTTTTATGCTATAATATTTTCTTAATATTTCATTAAAAAAATATATATAAATATTATCTTAGATATATATATATATATATATATATATATATATATATATATATATATATATATATAGAATATATCTATATATATATATAGAATCTCTATATATATATAGAATATAGATATAGAATATCTTATATATATATATATATAAGATATTCTAGTTTAGGATGGAATTAATTCTAAGTCAAGCATAGCGGAATAAATTGTTGAGAAAAAAAGTTACATTCTTTTTTTTAAAGTGGATAGGCAAGGATAGCTTCGCTTCCAAACACTAATCATGTGCCCAACATAAAGTGGGGTAAAATGGGTTTATGACGAGGGTTTGGAAGCGGAAATTTCCCCGGCTATCCAACGAGTACCCACTCGGCCCTAAAAATTATAATTATTGAAAAATCAAAATTTTTCTTATAAAATGGAGGCAAGGGTAATTGCTTACAATGGCTTGCAGAATGATGGGTACGATAACCGGTAATACGCAGAGTGGCACAGTGAGTTGTGAGAACAGTGCAAGACTGGCAAAAACATCGCCAGCATCCAAATGAGTCTCTTTCACCCAGAAGTAGACGGCGAACGTGAACAGAGTCATAAGGACGGACGATGCGTTAGTGAGGAATGCTGTAAATGTCAATGTTTAAGTGAGTCTGCCATAAAGTATTGTTTTCGTCTGTAATTTGCGGTGATTTAAGTGACATGAATTATTGATACACGCACTTATCAAGCCCCAGTAGAGAGAATCCTTGTCGAGTAATGATAATTCAATGTCTCTGGTGTGTTGTATTCGATGCTCGAATATTAATTCCCAGGCACGAAGCTTCACTAGTCTCATTCCTTGGAGGATTTCGTTCAGTAATTTCAATCTCGAGTCACTTTTTTCCTGCGGGAGGGAGAATACTCAATGGTTTCAGGAATTTTAGGAGAACCTTCATTTCTTATATTTTCGTTTCTCAAATTTTTCTGAATTCTAATGACTATCAGTTCTGGTTTCTTATATTTCTGGTTTAACCCTAGTCTGGTCACCGAACGCCACCCTGCAACTATGGTCACCTCCGCGGGGATTCCCCGCCGCGTTATTTAGGCTCTAGCGTTGCCGAATTCACTCTACACTGCCCGGGCGCGTTTAGCGAGTTTCCGGCAACGTCGCGCCATGGGCAATTCCATTTAACATGGGAAAAAATAATTCATCTGTTCGAAATAATTTGTTTTCTTTAGTATTTTTCGGAAATATGTTATTCTAAAAACTACTATAATTTTTTAGACACTTCAATTGACAAAGTCAAATTTTTTTGAATTTTTCCGGTTAGCCAGTCCATTGTAATTAAAGAAAAACGACGCGCGGCGGGGTTTCTCATGGGATGACCGATCTAGGGTTAAGGGCTCTTCCGAGTGCATTGAATAGTATGGGAATACAAGAATTTGGAGAAAATTTTACTGATTTTAAAAATTTCAGGCGGATTTCTCCTTTCTTATATTTTGGGTTCTGAGATTTTTCTGAATTCTAATGAATATCGCTTCTGGGTTCTTATATTTCTGGTTTAAGGGCTCTTCCGAGTGCATTGAATTGTATGGGAATATAAGAATTTTGAGAAAATTTCAATGATGTTAAAAATTTCAGGATTTCTCATTTTTTATATTTTAGTTTCTCAAATTTTTCTGAATTCTAATGACTATCAGTTCTGGTTTCTTATATTTCTGGTTTAACCCTAGTCTGGTCACCGAACGCCACCCTGCAACTATGGTCACCTCCGCGGGGATTCCCCGCCGCGTTATTTAGGCTCTAGCGTTGCCGAATTCACTCTACACTGCCCGGGCGCGTTTAGCGAGTTTCCGGCAACGTCGCGCCATGGGCAATTACATTTAACATGGGAAAAAATAATTCATCTGTTCGAAATAATTTGTTTTCTTTAGAATTTTTCGGAAATATGTTATTCTAAAAACTGCTATAATTTTTTAGACACTTCAATTGACAAAGTCAAATTCTTTTGAATTTTTCCGGTTAGCCAGTCCATTGTAATTAAAGAAAAACGACGCGCGGCGGGGTTTNGTTTCTCAAATTTTTCTGAATTCTAATGACTATCAGTTCTGGTTTCTTATATTTCTGGTTTAACCCTAGTCTGGTCACCGAACGCCACCCTGCAACTATGGTCACCTCCGCGGGGATTCCCCGCCGCGTTATTTAGGCTCTAGCGTTGCCGAATTCACTCTACACTGCCCGGGCGCGTTTAGCGAGTTTCCGGCAACGTCGCGCCATGGGCAATTCCATTTAACATGGGAAAAAATAATTCATCTGTTCGAAATAATTTGTTTTCTTTAGTATTTTTCGGAAATATGTTATTCTAAAAACTACTATAATTTTTTAGACACTTCAATTGACAAAGTCAAATTTTTTTGAATTTTTCCGGTTAGCCAGTCCATTGTAATTAAAGAAAAACGACGCGCGGCGGGGTTTCTCATGGGATGACCGATCTAGGGTTAAGGGCTCTTCCGAGTGCATTGAATAGTATGGGAATACAAGAATTTGGAGAAAATTTTACTGATTTTAAAAATTTCAGGCGGATTTCTCCTTTCTTATATTTTGGGTTCTGAGGTTTTTCTGAATTCTAATGAATATCGCTTCTGGGTTCTTATATTTCTGGTCTAAGGCTCTTCCGAGTGCATTGAATATTGTGGGAACATAAGAAACCAGAGTTCTGTTCCGGAAATAATATAAGAAACCAAAGGGTTGAGATATCTAAAAAAAAATCTGGGTCAAGAAGAAAATTTCCCCGGTTTTAGAAATTTCCAGAAATTTTCTTCCAACATGAAAAAAAAAATTATTTCAATAATATAGTAGAAAATCCGTTCTTCTTACCGTAACAATTTTTAGATTCCGCCACATCTTCCTTCCCAAAAAGAATTGTATTGGCGTAATAATGAAAATACAACAGATAGTTCCAACAATGGCACTAACACCAAGTTTTATGATGAGTAAAACAATAATGGCGAGGACCTAAAACAACAGGCAATAAAAAAGAAGAATAGTTTACAATATCCGAGTGATTGATGGAAAATCATTGTTTGTTCCTTCTACAAGAATAGAAGAGATAATTCCGTGGAAGAAAAACATAAATGTTTACGGCTTACTTTGAGTGGAATTGCCCAAGTGTAGTGTGCAATACAAAAAAAGCTCATGACGTTGGAAGCATCCTCGGCCATTAAATTTGTGAGAGTACCGATGTCTGCGGTATGGCTCTTGGGTTGAGCGTCTTTATCATCCTTCGGTGGTTCTTCTTCCTCTAAAATTGTCCAGGAGTAAAGGCGCAGTGATTTATGGTAAATCAGGGCCTGTGAACGGATGGAACCAATTAAATTTTCATATTTTCGCCGGTATATCGTTAAGAAAATTATCTATCAATATGATAATTATCCGATTTTTTTACTACTGTTGATGTCCTTTTTCCTGTGAAATTCGATATTCCATTTTTCAATTCATTGTTTATAATATTTATCATTGCGAAAAAGCAATACGATCGATGAGAAACATATGTCCCAATTTATCAGCTGTTAAATTTTCATATTACAATAAATGATTTGCTCATGTTCTAATGCCTATGGTCACTGAATAAGATCTTAATCGTAATTACAATTCAATTCCTTCTAGAACACACTTTAGGGTGTCAATTTCTGGAATTCAATGTTTGTTGATACTCTGGTAAAAGTGCGTGCCCACACTGTTATCAGTTTTTAATTAGTTCCCACGGTAATTCAATTAATCTGTTGTTCATCTCATCAATATAATTCCGTGCTTAGAATATTGTCATCTCGTGTTTTCAGCACCAAATTAAAAATTAAAACTTCATTTGGAATATTAAGTCACAGCTTTTTTTTATTCATATCAGAAATTTTGTATTTGGATATTAATATTATTTGTTCAAAGTGAAAAAATCGATCATCATTTTCACTATACTGCATTCAGATTCTCCTACCCTTAACGTCAAAAATGTGAGATTATCTCATAGTTCTAGCTATTAATTCTAATCAACTTTGTTCGAAGAAAACCTTAGTAAACGCAATATTAAGAAAGTAGAATTATTCTATTTTCCTCTGACCTAAATGATTTGGACAATTATGATTCGTTTATTCATGTTTCATAGATTGGTATTCAATTCTTTTATTTGCTACGTCGGCTTCATGAAAATTCGCCGCAAGACGATTGCACTCATGAAAACCGCCTTACTTTCTCCATTCCTTCCTCTTTGAAAATAATTCTCCAGCGATATCTAGATGATTGATAGAATCGATTTATCCATCAACAAGGATCAAGATCCAGGATCAATTCTCGAAACATACTTATAGCCTTAATAGGATCAATTCATTGATCTATCAACCTACACATCGTTTCAATAATTCACTTACCTGCAACGCTGTTCGTAGCCTGCTCCCCTCGACACTGACGAAATGCGTGGACGCTTGGCTCAATGTGCCCTGCAGTATCGCAGCGCCAAAAATAATGATACCGAGAAAATAACCATTTTCCAACAATTCGTCCCACGTCATGTACCTCCCATATATTTCTCTATCCTTATGAGTTGAGTTCTGACGCATTGCCACGTAATTCACGATTCTCGAGATCACCAGGGGGCCAACTAGTGTTGTGGCATCGCCAAACAACTTCAGCACACCCCCAAGGACGAATGCCGGCCAGACTCGACGCCAATAACACGCCCAGAGTGACGGACGCTCATCGATCGAGGCGTTCTAAATTTTTTTTCAAAATCAATTATTGTTGATTGGAGAGGTGTGATGACCCGATTGGACAGCCGGGGAAAATGCTGACATAAACATCTCAAGAACGGCGAAATACCTCGAATTTACCCTTGACACAAAGCTCTGATGGCGCGCACACATTAGCTCTTAATTCACTTTATGGATAGAAATCATGATTTCTCGAGAGATTTCTTGACATCAAGAAGTCATTGGAATCTACAAGAAATCATGGAAGACATGAGAAATCAAGAGAAATCGTGAGGTTCAATTCTGATTGAGAAATCATGCAAGAAATCACAGGAAATCATTGATTCTAGGAATCACAACAGCTCGAATTTACCCTTGACAAAAAGCTCTGATGGCGCGCACACATTAGCTCTTAATTCATTTTATGGATAGAAATCATGATTTCTCGAGAGATTTCTTGACATCAAGAAGTCATTGGAATCTACTAGAAATCATGGAAGACATGAGAAATCAAGAGAAATCGTGATGTTCAATTCTGATTGAGAAATCATGCAAGAAATCACAGGAAATCATTGATTCTAGGAATCACAACACCTCGAATTTACCCTTGACAAAAAGCTCTGATGGCGCGCACACATTAGCTCTCAATTCATTTTATGGATAGAAATCATGATTTCTCGAGAGATTTCTTGACATCAAGAAGTCATTGGAATCTACTAGAAATCATGGAAGACATGAGAAATCAAGAGAAATCGTGATGTTCAATTCTGATTGAGAAATCATGCAAGAAATCACAGGAAATCATTGATTCTAGGAATCACAACACCTCGAATTTACCCTTGACAAAAAGCTCTGATGGCGCGCACACATTAGCTCTCAATTCATTTTATGGATAGAAATCATGATTTCTCGAGAGATTTCTTGACATCAAGAAGTCATTGGAATCTACTAGAAATCATGGAAGACATGAGAAATCAAGAGAAATCGTGATGTTCAATTCTGATTGAGAAATCATGCAAGAAATCACAGGAAATCATTGATTCTAGGAATCACAACACCTCGAATTTACCCTTGACAAAAAGCTCTGATGGCGCGCACACATTAGCTCTCAATTCATTTTATGGATAGAAATCATGATTTCTCGAGAGATTTCTTGACATCAAGAAGTCATTGGAATCTACTAGAAATCATGGAAGACATGAGAAATCAAGAGAAATCGTGATGTTCAATTCTGATTGAGAAATCATGCAAGAAATCACAGGAAATCATTGATTCTAGGAATCACAACACCTCGAATTTACCCTTGACAAAAAGCTCTGATGGCGCGCACACATTAGCTCTCAATTCATTTTATGGATAGAAATCATGATTTCTCGAGAGATTTCTTGACATCAAGAAGTCATTGGAATCTACTAGAAATCATGGAAGACATGAGAAATCAAGAGAAATCGTGATGTTCAATTCTGATTGAGAAATCATGCAAGAAATCACAGGAAATCATTGATTCTAGGAATCACAACACCTCGAATTTACCCTTGACAAAAAGCTCTGATGGCGCGCACACATTAGCTCTCAATTCATTTTATGGATAGAAATCATGATTTCTCGAGAGATTTCTTGACATCAAGAAGTCATTGGAATCTACTAGAAATCATGGAAGACATGAGAAATCAAGAGAAATCGTGATGTTCAATTCTGATTGAGAAATCATGCAAGAAATCACAGGAAATCATTGATTCTAGGAATCACAACACCTCGAATTTACCCTTGACAAAAAGCTCTGATGGCGCGCACACATTAGCTCTCAATTCATTTTATGGATAGAAATCATGATTTCTCGAGAGATTTCTTGACATCAAGAAGTCATTGGAATCTACTAGAAATCATGGAAGACATGAGAAATCAAGAGAAATCGTGATGTTCAATTCTGATTGAGAAATCATGCAAGAAATCACAGGAAATCATTGATTCTAGGAATCACAACACCTCGAATTTACCCTTGACAAAAAGCTCTGATGGCGCGCACACATTAGCTCTCAATTCATTTTATGGATAGAAATCATGATTTCTCGAGAGATTTCTTGACATCAAGAAGTCATTGGAATCTACTAGAAATCATGGAAGACATGAGAAATCAAGAGAAATCGTGATGTTCAATTCTGATTGAGAAATCATGCAAGAAATCACAGGAAATCATTGATTCTAGGAATCACAACACCTCGAATTTACCCTTGACAAAAAGCTCTGATGGCGCGCACACATTAGCTCTCAATTCATTTTATGGATAGAAATCATGATTTCTCGAGAGATTTCTTGACATCAAGAAGTCATTGGAATCTACTAGAAATCATGGAAGACATGAGAAATCAAGAGAAATCGTGATGTTCAATTCTGATTGAGAAATCATGCAAGAAATCACAGGAAATCATTGATTCTAGGAATCACAACACCTCGAATTTACCCTTGACAAAAAGCTCTGATGGCGCGCACACATTAGCTCTCAATTCATTTTATGGATAGAAATCATGATTTCTCGAGAGATTTCTTGACATCAAGAAGTCATTGGAATCTACTAGAAATCATGGAAGACATGAGAAATCAAGAGAAATCGTGATGTTCAATTCTGATTGAGAAATCATGCAAGAAATCACAGGAAATCATTGATTCTAGGAATCACAACACCTCGAATTTACCCTTGACAAAAAGCTCTGATGGCGCGCACACATTAGCTCTCAATTCATTTTATGGATAGAAATCATGATTTCTCGAGAGATTTCTTGACATCAAGAAGTCATTGGAATCTACTAGAAATCATGGAAGACATGAGAAATCAAGAGAAATCGTGATGTTCAATTCTGATTGAGAAATCATGCAAGAAATCACAGGAAATCATTGATTCTAGGAATCACAACAGCTCGAATTTACCCTTGACAAAAAGCTCTGATGGCGCGCACACATTAGCTCTTAATTCATTTTATGGATAGAAATCATGATTTCTCGAGAGATTTCTTGACATCAAGAAGTCATTGGAATCTACTAGAAATCATGGAAGACATGAGAAATCAAGAGAAATCGTGATGTTCAATTCTGATTGAGAAATCATGCAAGAAATCACAGGAAATCATTGATTCTAGGAATCACAACAGCTCGAATTTACCCTTGACAAAAAGCTCTGATGGCGCGCACACATTAGCTCTTAATTCATTTTATGGATAGAAATCATGATTTCTCGAGAGATTTCTTGACATCAAGAAGTCATTGGAATCTACTAGAAATCATGGAAGACATGAGAAATCAAGAGAAATCGTGATGTTCAATTCTGATTGAGAAATCATGCAAGAAATCACAGGAAATCATTGATTCTAGGAATCACAACAGCTCGAATTTACCCTTGACAAAAAGCTCTGATGGCGCGCACACATTAGCTCTTAATTCATTTTATGGATAGAAATCCTGATTTCTCGAGAGATTTCTTGACATCAAGAAGTCATTG